TATACGTCTATTTGTTTTGCTTCGTTCTTCTTAAGCTATTGACATTTAAACTGTACTGAGAGTAACCACCAAGGGTCCCCTTGGGACATGATGGTTTGAAAAGAAAAGAAAAAAGAACTGTACTTAGAATTCTTAGCCCATGCCTTGCCACATTACATTCTACTAAAAAAATCAGTAACATATTTGACCACCTATATAAAATGCCAATTTTGTGAAGCCTAGGAGCTTTGCTCTGTTCTTTATCACATGTCTAATACGTATTTGTTTTCTCTTACATTGTTCTTAGATGCATAAATTAGAAATAAGTTGCTTCTGTATATGCGTGTAGTTGTATGTTCTTTCCAAAGCCTCAAATTGATGTTCCTTTGCAGTTTTATCAATTACGTACCAATAGTTAATTGCTGGTATTAGTCTACTTACAGGGTTATATTGTTGATCGTTTGAGAAATTTGATGGTGTAGTGCAATAGTATTATTTCATGTTATTTGCAAATTCTTTGTCTCTTATATTATGAAAAATTGTATATTGTTTTAATTGCCTTGTAATTTTTGAACTGCAGGAGCTCGGGTTTCAGTGCGACAAAAATCAAGGTGAATATCGCGCCAAATTTGCTTGCCACCTGGACTGTTTTGCATGGGTTAAACGTGATAGTTATCTCCCTCAAGGCAGCCACGGCTTAAAGGTGCAATTCTTTCTGTTTGTTTTCCCAATGATATTGTGGTCTCCCATCCCTGATGGATATGAAACTTTTTAAGTTATTAACTTTGGACAAGTTTTCCTACATGTGGTTATGCTTTTCCCCCTGTTTTCCAGTGCAAAAATATTAATTATGTTTTTTCTAGACCCACTAAAATTTATTCCACAATATGTCCTTTGTCATAACTTGTGTTCGAAATCAGGCATCAATGATGACATTTGTTATTAGGAAAATTGATTTCATGTCCAAAGTACAGCTAGACAGATGAGGATTCTGAAACTGGTATAGTCATGAGGATATAGTTAAAATGAAATTAAATCATTTGTATGTTTCTCTGCATGTAGAGAGGTTTCGAGATTTCTTATTTTCCAGGAGTACGGCATCGGAAAAATCCTTTCCCTGTTTCTTGCTTTACATATAACAACCAATCTGATTCTATTGAATTTTAATGCCGTTGGATTTCAAGATGATAGATTACCACATTGTATTTGTGCAAGTTAGAACTGATGGGTGTAGTTTTTTTGGGTTTTATTATGATGTAGAACAATCAGTAATGTTCTTTAGGTACATGTAAAAATGTCTTCACATTTTATTCGTGGTCTTGATCAAAAAATTTGCCCTCCAATTTATTTGAAATATGGTTTAGGATGTTGAAATCCTATAACTTTCGAATTTTCAATTGGTTACGTTTATGTTTACCTGTCAAACATTTATTTTGTCACCTTGTTACATTCTTACTCTGGTTTATCGTTTCCATCCTACTATGTTTCTGTTCAATAATATATATCTCCATTAAAATTTTCCAGGCTGTGACAAAAGCTAAATTGGGTTTTGACCCATTGGAAGTCAATCCTGAAGATATGGTTCGTTTTGCAATGGAAAAACCCCAGGTACGGTCTAGTTGACAACAAATTTTGACACTACTGGTGCATTTTATTATTGAGAATATCAATAGTGATAAAATGTTTCAGTGGTGTTAATAGATCAGTTTAACCGGGAAGAGTTATTTTCCATGTAGCCAAGACGCACTCGAACAGGAAGAAAATTACTAGGTTTATAGTCCACTTTAGTATGAACTTGTTTTTCTGTTGTGGTAATTGATTATAAAATCAACATAAGATGATGGAATAAACAATTCAACATACATGCAACTGTATAGTTACAGTTTGAAGTTTGTTTTATCTTCTATTTGGATGGTTAAGGTGAAGTATTTCAATGCTTGTAGTTTCATAGAAACAAATGCATGCAGATAGGGAAAAAATGACGTCAGTATATAAGCTCTTATGCAGCTTGAAGCAGGTTTACTTTAGTAAATATTCTTATGCTTCTTTGGGTCAGGGCAAAATACTGGAATACTTGTGTTTCCTAGAACCTTTATAGCTGACTACTGATCAATATAGATTCTATTCAGTGAGAGCTGCCACTTTCATATTTCAAAGACATTGATCTTCTTGTAAATAAGAACTTCATTGAGAACTGAGGCTCCTTTACGGTTCTGCAACTGTCCTTTACGCAAGACCCTATGGAAGGTTTGATCCTTTTGGCCTTTAGAAGAGACTATGCTTTTCCTAGTGACAAACAACAATCAAACTGCTTAGCCCACTTCTGTTCTTATTTTATTTTATCTTTTAAAAGGTTGATGTGAAACCATGATTTTCTTGACAAAGATAATTTGGACAAGCTATTTGAGCTTGGTCTTGGTCTACAATGTCATACTGAGAGGAATTGTGTTGATTCTATAACAGGGAAAATGTGTAGTTTATGCATGTCTTCTTGCACCCACAGTATAATTCAAGGACTTGAGGACTTACAATCCTGATCTTTTGGATGCCTGAGGATGTTACTTCTGAAGTTTATTAGCTTGCGTTAAGTGAGGTATATCTAGTTGATCTCCGGAGTAATTAAAAAAACTGAACTGTCAACTATGAGTTTCCTTGCTCAATTAACTCCTGAACTAGCTCTAGTTCATTCACGTAAACTAGCAGTATAACTCATTTTACCAAGGTAATAAGTGCCTGGGGCCTGATAGGTGGTGGTATCACGCCCTTATTGAAGTCCTGAGGAACTCGCATTAACATTGTTACCACAGATCGTAGTTTTGGTGGATTTAGCATCCATATTGAACTGGATGCATTTAGTTGGGAATAATCACTTTGGTTTCCAGCTGGCGACAAGATCAATCTATTGCATTAGGATCGCCTTGACCTATCAATAAAACAAACTCAACGAAGTGTTTTTGTTTAATTCTTATTAAAGTTATTTACTTATTAGCTCTAATTGATATTCACTACTTCCTTTTGAAGCATTTCATCACGATGCAATCCACTAATGATGATTCTCTTATTTCAAATTATCATCTAAATTGGTTGTGACTTTGCAGATGATGGCATCTTATTCTGTTTCTGACGCTGTTTCAACTTACTACCTGTATATGACTTATGTGCACCCCTTCATCTTCTCCCTTGCCACCATAATTCCAATGCCACCGGATGAGGTTTTACGAAAAGGAAGTGGAACTCTCTGTGAAATGCTTCTTATGGTCGAGGTGAATAAATGAACCCTTAATTATGCTTTTCTGGTGAAACTGCTTGTATTTCTTTTTCCCTATGTCTTAACTCTTAAGAGTGCACATTCTTTGGTGCTTTTGCTAATTTGATCTTTTTTCCATTGAAATTTGAATGTTGCGTATTCGGGTCTCTAGCTGTTCCCATCTTTTATCCTATCTTCAAACCAAAACTAAGTAAAAGAGAAAAATAGCAGAAAGCAGAGAAAACATATATGAGCTGTTTCAGCTCTCCTGGGATCTTTAATCCTTCCTCATCTGTTAATCATCAGCTCAGTTTTCACTTTGATGGTGCTTGCAGGCATACAAAGCAAATGTTATCTGCCCTAATAAACACCAATCTGATCCAGAGAAGTTCTACAAAAGTAAACTTCTTGAGAGTGAGACGTATATTGGTGGCCATGTGGAGTGTCTAGAAACTGGGGTTTTCAGATCTGATCTTCCTACAAGTTTTAAACTCGACCCGGTTGCTTTTGAGGTATTCCACTGAACTCCTCAATAAGATTCAAAATCCTTTTTTAATAAATGCGAGAATGATTTTATGTGAATCTGCTTCAAAATATATGCAAATTATCTTCATACTTATTATAAGAGGCAATCTGCATGCAGTCATGCATTGGAATTCTGGAGATCGTTTTCATTCGTTTCTTGAATGAGGCAATCGATCAACAATCACATTATCTCACATATTTGGAATGTTTGGTTAAATTCTTTGCTATTTGGATTATTAGAATTTAGAAGTTCCTAAATAGTCAGGCTGGGTACTGTCTTTCACAATCTTAATATCTTTTATGCTTATTTCAGCAATGCCTCCCTCACTTGCATGGTAATTACCGAAGTTCTAATGATTTATGGTCACATTTTGAATCCAGAACCCAACTAGACCTTCTTTACTTGTTTAATCTTGCTGAAAAGTCAGAATTCTTTACTGTTACAGCAATTACTTGATAACCTTGACCGCGACCTACAATATGCTATTAGAGTGGAGGGAAAGATGGACCTAGATTCAGTTTCAAACTATGATGAAGTAAAGGATGCTATCAAGGAAAAGGTACTGTAACCTTCTTTATGAGAAGCCTTCTTTTTTAACTCTTCATATGTAGCATAGATATTAAACTAGTTTCCTTAATTTCATCTTTGTTTTTAGCTTTAATTGATGTAGAAGAGAATTCCTTTTTTGTATTTTTATCATTTAAAGTTGGAAGCCGTCATGTATCACAGTCTCACTTGTATATGGTGGACATGCATGGCAAACTTTGTCCATGTGCTGCTGATAAAAACATTGCATATTAATTTTATGTATGTGTATATTAGACATACCTAAGCTCATATATTATATTTTATGTGAAGGTATTAGTGGGAAATGATTATGTTTATGCACTTCTCCAACTGTTCAACTGAATCTCTATGCTATCTGCAACTCTGTGCGAGTTTATATCAAAATTACCTAGGCCTGTTCAACTACCACCACATGACCCGAAAATGTATGTTTGATTCTATGCTTCAATGTGCGCAGCTGATGAAATTGCGAGATGAGCCAATACGTGAAGATTTCCCTCTTATATATCATCTTGATGTTGCTGCAATGTATCCAAACATCATTTTGACAAACAGGCTTCAGGTAATCAAACGAGACAACCTCATCTAGCACATCTCCTACCACGGAACTTTACTTCCTTGAGCAATTTAATTGTTTACACAAAGGAGAAAGCAAGTATAGACATATCTAAGAAACCAATATTTGATTATCTGAATATGACCCATTCTCTGCTTGGTTTATGATGCTCTATTCTATAATAGCAATATGACTGTATTAGCTATAAATGGAGACAATAGACAGTACTGATGTTTTGAAGTACCTGACAAAGAACACATAAAGCTAGGTAGTCATGAAACTCAAATCTAGGATGTTTTTATTTGGAAGTCAAAAAACCTATTGTTGATTAGAGTTTTTAATAGCTAGCAAATGAAAACCTTCATAAGCTGCCAAGTCCTGATTTTTCTCTGTACTGAAATTTATTTCATTTTTTAGCCTGTGTTATATGAGTTTTGTTTGATTGAATGAAAATTTCAATTGATAAGTTAGACTGATATCTACTTTACTAAGGCATCACAATGAACAATTAGTTATCAATCAAGACAGCATCTTACATTAACATGCAATTAACTTGAGTTTTTTGCTCCCAATATATAGCCGCCCTCAATAGTTACAGATGAAATATGCACTGCATGTGATTTTAATCGTCCCGGCAAAAATTGCCTTCGGAAGCTTGAATGGGTTTGGCGTGGAGAGACGTACATGGCAAAGAGAAGGTTTGATTTCATATACCTTTATTGTTTGGATAATCTACTACAAGATTGCTGCGTGTATATATACTGATAAACTTGTTGGCATCATTTTAATACCAGTGATTACTATCATATAAAGAGGCAAATTGAATCTGAGCTTGTTAGTAGTATGAATGGGCAATTAAGGAATTCTTTCCTTGATCTGCCTAAAGCAGACCAGCAATTGAAACTCAAAGATCGTTTGAAGAAATACTGCCAGAAGGTATTCCTTGTTTCCATCTCTTTATCTGATGTTGAAAACAATTCCTTGCGAGAGACCTTAGACTTGGCTTTGCTTATTACTTTTAGGCATACAAAAGAGTACTAGATAAACCTATTACCGAACTGCGAGAAGCTGGGATCTGCATGCGTGAAAACCCATTTTATGTTGACACTGTCCGCAGGTAGGCATAAATTTTTTTCTGTCGTCATTATCTGTGACCCTTACAGTCCAATTTCTCATAATTACTCTAAAAGAGCTTTGATATATTTACCACGTGTCAAATTATGTTATTCAAAACCATTTGCTCTTTGTTTTGTTGAAGTTTTCGAGATAGAAGGTACGAGTACAAAGGGCTCAATAAAGTTTGGAAGGGAAAGTTGTTTGAAGCAAAGGCCAGCGGGAATTCTATAAAAATCCAGGAAGCACAAGTAGCGATCTCTCTCACTCCTATGCACAATAAAATTATGTTGTTCATGACATGAAATTAATGCCAATGAACCTACTGTTACAGGACATGGTAGTTCTCTATGATTCGTTGCAGCTTGCCCATAAATGCATTCTCAACTCTTTCTATGGATATGTTATGCGCAAGTATGTTCCAGAATTTCATTCGCTTGTTTTCCTTTATGTCTTATGAATCTTTTGGGGTCTTTATATTGGTCAATTTTACCAGGGGTGCAAGATGGTACTCCATGGAAATGGCTGGAGTTGTTACATATACTGGAGCAAAAATTATTCAGAATGCTCGCTTGCTGGTCGAAAGAATTGGGAGGCCTCTTGAGTTGGACACTGATGGTATCTGGTGTGCGCTACCAGGGTCATTCCCGGAAAACTTCACATTTAAGACAAAGTAAATTTTTAGTTACAGAAGTACATGGTTATTTCTGCACCTTTATTACCATTGATATGACATGGTTTTATATGAATAAATTGAAGTTTTTTAGGCACATGTTACAGTTTTTACTCGTCTAAGATGTGCTTTGGTTGCCAACTTACTTTTTCCTTGTATGGATGTTTTGGCGGATGCTCATGAACTTTCATGGAAAATAAATATCAGAGACTCAAAGAAGTTGACAATATCATATCCTTGTGTCATGCTCAACGTTGACGTGGCTAGAAACAATACCAATGATCAGTACCAGGTTAATAAGAGTTTCCTCAATAATTCTTTAAGTTCCATTTTCATATTTACACACATTATCCTGTAAACTATTTTGGTTTATCCTTACCATTGGGCATCAGAATTAAAAAAAAGAAACTCGTGCAAATAAGAAATTAATCAGCAACTGCTGTTTTTTGCAGACACTAGCAGATCCTGTCAGTAAGACCTATACAACACACAGTGAGTGCTCAATTGAGTTTGAGGTGGATGGACCGTATAAGGTGATGCTGAAAGAATATGAGATACACCATCATTTTTACTTCTACTAGATTACTGTATCTGATCTATCGGTCTTGTCATATTAATTTCATTGTGTTGGTATAATCTTATGTTATAGGCAATGATTCTGCCTGCTTCCAAGGAGGAAGGGATTTTACTGAAGAAACGTTATGCAGTTTTTAATGATGATGGTACCCTTGCTGAACTGAAGGGTTTTGAGATCAAGCGTAGAGGTGAACTTAAGCTCATTAAAGTTTTCCAGGTATGTTTTAGCCATGCCCCACTATAATATTTGTGAAGTGAGAGATTTTTCTTTTGTTCCACATGATGCATCTTGAGACATTTGTGATGAATTTACCCCCTTGTCACATTCAAATACCGGGTGCATTAGATTGATTTAAAATGATTGGATTTGAAATGAGTCCAAATGGGTAGATTTGAAATGACTCTAAATCGGAAGGGATTTAATATCAATCACAATTGCTCAACAAAAAAACTGAAAATGAGAACTAAGGATCTGAAATTCCTTGTCAAATGACTCGATTCGAAGAAGCTCAATGGATTTGAAATCCATCCCTCAAAACCTCCCATCCAAGTGACTACACCTTGAGGTTGGATCGTAGTCACTTGATATAGTGTTTGATTGAAGGAAAACCTTTTGCCCCCTGCCATATGTGTCTTGTAAAGGGACATTTTCCTCCTGCTCACCAATTTTGCTTCATTTCACTGAATTGCTTTTATGCAGGCTGAGCTATTTGATAAGTTTCTTCATGGGTCAACATTAGAAGAGTGCTATTCAGCCGTTGCTTCTGTTGCAAACAGTTGGCTTGATCTTCTTGATGTAAGTTACTAAGTTTGATAATCCATTGTTTTAACATTCAAATTGCAGATAAAGTTATTTTGCCGACGATAGTTCGTTTTATATAAGTACACTCTGAATCTCATTATTATCTGTATTTGTATACTGAAACTCCTTAGGTTATTCTACTCTGGTCTTCATGATATTTCCCTTCAAAGTATCCATTTATCATGAATGTTAGAATAAATTCTGTGATGAGTCCATTTGGAAGAATGTCCTGAAGCATGTTCTTTTATTCTGGAGAGTACAATATTTTTGATTGTCTTGCCAAAATTGATTGACTAGAATCAGTACTAAACACTTTATCTTCTCTTCTCTTGCTAGAATATGTTATAACTGCAAGGTTCTAGATTTAATCTCCGTGCTCTATAATTTCAGAACCAGGGAGAAGACATTGCAGATAGTGAATTGCTTGATTATATATCAGAATCGAGTACAATGAGCAAGTCTTTAGCAGAGTATGGTGAACAAAAGTCATGCGCGGTGACCACAGCTAAACGCCTAGCCGATTTCCTTGGGGATGCAATGGTTAAAGACAAAGGATTGCGCTGTCAGTATATAGTTGCATGTGAACCAAAGGTATGAAATCATTTTGAGTTTGGTCACTTATAGTTTTTCAACTTCTAGTTTCGAACTGAAGTGATAAATATGAGATGGCCTTCAATAATTTATTATTTTCTTTTGTTATAAATATGTTTTCTACCATGGCATTGTCAATAATAGGAGCCCTTCAGAAGTTGGTCTGAAAAGTGAATACTAAATAAGATTCTAATGTATTTTCTGGCCTATACTTAACATCGTTTGATTTAGTGAATTGCCTTTCTGGATGATATTATAAAGAAGAAATATTCAGATAGGAGCAAAAAGTGTTTATGGCTAATTGCAGACTTTTTATTCAGCTCTCCTGGTGATGGGATTTATCTTGGTTTTCGTTTGCAAGATCTATTTACCGTTAGAATAAGTTTTGGAACTTATTAAGGTAAAAGAAAGATTTAACTCCATGTAACTAACGTGGTATAATTAAAAAGGGCAAAAGAGATCACTAAAGGTCTTCCACTTTCTTAAACATTTTTTATGTTTTTCATATGGAACAGGGACAATCAGGAGCTGTTGTCTGACATTAGTAGAGACAGTTTGAGTACTTGTATATCCTTATAGTCACTGCTTGTGCAAGTTGAAACAGAGTGGCTTTTGAGCTGGGCTATTTAACATCTCTCATGCTCTAGAATCTAGAGTTCATGTGTCTCCTCCACCCACCCCACGCACCAACCTTGCGAAAGATTAATATCAAGAATATCACAATCATATGACCTTTTCATTTTAACTCAATAAGGTGTTTTCATTTTCATTACTGCATGTTTCTAGTTACGTGCACGTGAAATAAAATCTTAGATATGACCCATTGGTACTGCCAATTATTGCATAAGCATCTGGTGTCTGTTAATCAGTTATATTTTTCTTGTGTTACGTATGCTCTATCGCAGTACTTGTACTTGTAAATCGACTTTTTTGTCCCATCAGTTGTTCCTCTTTCTAGATTATAATTCTTTTGGGCTTTAGCGTTATTGACATTCTGCATTGAGCAGGGAACCCCAGTAAGTGAACGCGCTGTTCCTGTTGCAATTTTTGAGACTGAAGCTGGTAAATATATTGATAATTTTCTTTCCTTTTTTCCTTAACACTTTTGGTATATAAATTAGGCTCTCATGCTGGTTCTCGAAATTGCTTACAGAAATTTTGAGGCACTATATAAAGAAGTGGTGCAAAGTCTCATCAAAGGTTGACATCCGGTCAATTATTGATTGGGCATACTACAAACAAAGGCTTAGTTCATCTATTCAAAAAATTATCACGATTCCTGCAGCAATGCAAAAGGTGGAGATGATGTTTATTGCGGTTAGTAAGCTATTTCCTTTTTCTGGTTTCTGAAGAGGAGCTGCACATTTTTCAGGTTGCAAATCCTGTCCCTAGGGTGGTTCATCCTGATTGGCTCCACAAGAAGGTTCGTGAAAAAGATGACAAATTGCGTCAGCGAAAATTGGTTGATATATTCAAGAAGCGACAAATAGATGATGATATTAGAGTGAGTGATCCTCATGCCAATGATCACAGCACAGATGGACATGATGTTACAGACATGGAAGACTTTAGGAATATGGGAACAACTCCTATAGTTAGGACTAAACCTATTGTTCGTCTCTATGAGATTAATAATGAACAGCATCAAGTTGGAACAAGTAATCTTGTTGGAAGTGCTGAGCAAAATGATGAGGATGGAAGTGGACATAAGAACTTAGCTTATCCATTACAAAAGGTTTTTGAAGAGAGTATCGACAAAAGTGTAGATTATCAAGGATGGCTGGAGGTAAGGAAGAGAAAATGGAAAGAGGCTCGCGAGAAAAGGAAACGTCAAAGGTATTCTTTTTCATTGCTTAACCTAATTGTCTCAACAGAGAGGGGGGGGGGGGGGGCAGCTTCTTTAGTATGTGTAGCTTGTTCAAGTATACCAGGTGTCTAGCTTTCCATAGTGAATGAGTGTGTTTGATCGGGGTAGTAGAGTGAGAGAAGTAATCGTCTCCATTATTGAAAGCTGCTGATGTTTTCCTAGAGTCAGCACTAACTTCTCAGAGGATACTTATCTGCAAATGAAATTAAGTTGGGATGAGGCGCAATTCATATATACTTGATAGCATTAAGTTAAATCTTGTATGAATGAAAATTTTCAGTATATAAGTATGAGTTCGCTGTTTTATCAACCTTGATGTGTTGTTTGTTGATTGTTACCAAAATCAGCCTGGATTTGTTCTCTTGTCAGGTTAGACAACTCTGGGATGTTAAACCATGTTAATGGTGCTGAGGGGAGTAGCGCCATTCCAAATTTTAAACAGGCTGAAGGCCGAGTTGGGGTCAATTCTTATTTTCAGAAGCATGACTTGGCACTTACACGTTGTCACTGGCAGGTAATGCATTTAATAATTAAATTTGTTTTCTCTTTACTTTTACATGTTCAATTCTTTAAAGTTATATTTATTTCTCAATGACAACTGAATGTAACTTTTTTATGTCAGATTATTCAGCTTGTACCAAGTGCAGAACATGGCCAATTTTTTGCTTGGGTAGTTTTAGAAGGAACTATGCGTAAGATTCCCATACTAATCCCCAGGACATTTTATCTCAACTCTAAAGCCCCTGTAACAGAAGAATTCCCTGGAAGGCGCGTGAACAAAACTCTTCCCCATGGGCACCAAAGCTACAACCTAATAGAGGTACACCATTCAACAATTTAGTGTTCTATTCAAGTCACTGGGATCAAAAAATTTAAATGATTGATATAATAGTTTAACATCATTTCATCTTCAAAGGTTACAATTGACGAAGAACAATTTAGGGCGGAAAGCAAGAAATTAGCAGCTCACCTTGCAGATCCAGAAGTTGAGGTATCTATTTTCCTACCCCAGATTTTTGTTGCTATTAAAATCATCTACATACTTATTTGGATGCCTTAGTGTACCTCATAGATACTAATAAAAACAATTAGCTCTTCCCTTTGAAAAACTTCCAGAGACCGACTATTTAATGATATGTACCATATAATATGTAAATGTAACTGAATCATATTGTCACTTCATATGGAAAGATATAATTATGTAAAAATAACCTTCTCCCTGGCCAGGGTCTACTTTGCAGTGGTAACTTTCCAGAAATGTCAATTGAATGTGGCACTTCTCTTTTTCTGCATTGTCATTTAGGTTGAAACATGTAAACAAGTCAACTTTCAACTTAGGTGTTGAGGCTTCATTATCTACTTTGACCTTACCTGATAAGTTCAGACTACCTTCCTGCACTGGCACTACTTATTTAGTTGTGATTTGAACTTTGATGATCACATCATCACATTCAGTACTAGAACTTAAGTTGAATTATCTATTTTCATGTTATTAGCATTTTGTAGCAAACAGAGGAGAGAATCCTCTGAAATTGTTTATGCTGCATTATGCCTTGGTTTCTAAAATGTGATCAAATCGTTCTAGGAAAATTAATATGTATTATATATTGTCTACTATATTAACAAATACGTTCGATTTTTAAGAGTAGTGAAGCCCAATAGTTTTTGAGAAAGAACTCTTATCATAAAGCTTTTATTACATTTCATTTAATGTCTAAGAAATTGCAGTTAAGTACCATATCTACCTACTTTCAGTCATATTGTGATGATACAAACTTGACTACATGAACCTTTGACAGGGAATATATGAAACAAAGATTCCGCTGGAGTTCAATGCTATCCTTCAGATTGGTTGTGTCTGTAAAGTGGACAAGTCAGCAAAAAAACGAAATTTCCAAGATGGCTGGAGTTTGAATGAGTTGCATATGAAGACAACAACCGAGTGCCCTTATCTGGAACATTCAATTCCATTCTTCTATTTATATCATAGGTAATCATACATCATTATGATTGCAAAACGAGTTGTTTGCCCTTTTCTGAATACAAGTGCACTATAGTTCCGGTACATTGTTTTCTAAATTTCTCTGTGATGCATATCACATGGGATTAGCAGACTCTGAGTATCTTACATTGCTTTACTCAAAGAGTCTAATGTTTCTCTTGATCAACTTGCGTCCATAGAATTTGTCACGCTTTCGTTAGTTATGATGCAAAAGAATTGTTGTTCTAGCTTTTATTTTGTATAATGGATGTTCTGATTTTTTTCAGCATCTCTGATGGGCGAGCTATGTATGTAACGTATTTTCCTGCTTCAAACCAAATATATGTTGTGGCTGTGAGTCCTTTCCAGAGTAAGGAATTATCACCTCAAATGCTAGAAAGACAATTCCGTGAAGCTTGCCAAGCATTATCCTTTCAACCGCCCATGCTAAATGAAGCCATTTCGTTCAAGGTAAATTTTCTTTGAATGAAATAAATCACTTTTTCTTTAAAGGTAGTACTATATTCATTTATTTTTATTTTTTGGTAAGGTGGATTACTTTGGGCATGTGAAGGATGGTCAGGGAAACTTGCAGAAGATGATCACCCAATACAGGTTTTACTTCTTAGTCATTTCATTTGACAATATTAAGTGTCAGTTTTTATTTAGAATCTTCTTTCATAATTGGTTCTGTTCTTACCCGAACATGACTTCCTCAGAACTACAATTGAGGAGAAAGTGTCATGGATCTGCTAATGTGAGGAAATATTTGTTCCCTCTAAAAGCTAATTTTTAACAATTTAGGAAACTGCTTACTATTTTGTGTTGTAAGGTTGATAATCTAACTTATTAGCATTTGAGTCTTTGTTGTGTTCATTAGTTCGGTAAATAGTAAAGGTCCCATTTCGTTCAGTAGTTTTATAATCTGACCGTCTCATGTTCTTCTCCCAGATATGCCTACTTATTATCTATAAATGTATCTAGGTGAACACTATGCTGTTTATACAATGTTAAGTGAATATTAATTATTAAATGGCATGGGAAGTGACATTTAATCTGTAAGTGATGAATATGGATTATCGTGACCATGTTGTCAGTCTAATGTGAAGAGTTCAACAAGATATAGGTGGAAACGCCAATAGCTGTGCAATTATGTTGCATGGTCCCAAAATGTTACAGTACTATTGAAATGAGCTGCACTTCTTCATAGCTGATATATTGGGTTGAGTATTATGTCAATCGTCTGACTGATAACAACTACAAAGAAGCTAGGGTCTGCTAATTAAGAGCTTAACAGCAAGTTCTTTGATGTAATCCCATTTTTGGTTTGAGGAAACAAGAAGCTGATAAATGTAACTATTAACCATACTTGATGAGGGAACAAATTGATTTGTATGGTTAATAAAAAATGAAGCTTGAACTCTTAATATTTGACGCTCCAATACTATAGGATTTCATCAATGAATTGAACAGAGGTAACTTGTAAATCTAGGATGCCACTAAGCTCTTACTCGGAGCACCCGCAATCAAGTTATACTTGTTCGTTTGTTTTTTCATCTCATTTTCTCTTTAACAAACCATAGATTGTTCTGAGTTGGAAAAATCTGCAATGCATTGTATTCTTCTACTAATTTTGCAGCATGCATACTTTGCCATTTGCCTTGTGCATTTTGTATTGCAGACAACGGCATCCTGGACCTGTAATTGCTATTATAGAGTGCCCTAATATCCAGTTATTAAAGTCTGGCATAAGGGCATTAGAAGATTTTCCTTGTGTCAGTATTCCTTCCAATGCCCGGGATAGCCAATATCAGGTGATCAAAGATTATGACTTGGAAATTTTTGGACTGTGGGTTTTATTTAGAGTGTGATTGTCTAACACGATGATGCTTTCTCTCTTTGTATAGGCAATTGGTTGGCAAGTGATTGCTGCAAAAATTGGGATACAACGATGTGCTGCATCATCCCAATGGTTGAATGAGAGAGTTACACTTTCACGATATGCCCATGTAATAACTGCTACATTCATGATTTGTCCGCTGATAATATAGTGGTTATTGAGTATAATATGTTTCATTTTCTTCACAAATAATTATATTCTATGAACAGGTTCCATTGGGAAATTTTGAAGTTGATTGGCTCATACATACAGCAGATATCTTCTTGTCGAGAGCATTGCGTGATCAGCAACAGGTTACTGCTTTCTTGATCACTATATTGAACTTTGATTTTTTTTTTTTTAGCCATCAGTAAACGTATAGCAATGGCTTTCTTGCTTGCAATTCACATCTTAAGCACTGTTCTGCGTGCTAAATGAATTTTGAATCTTGAAATATGTTGATTATATCAGGTTCTTTGGGTATCTGATAATGGCATTCCAGACCTGGGAGGGAGTAATGAAGAAGTACCATGTTTTATAGATGAGGTGACTGATTTGAACTTTATATTGTATTATCTTCTCCTGGTGTGTGGCTCTTTCAATTGATTCTGTATTCAAAGTGGGATCATAGGAAGAATACTTTATATTAAGTTTTAGGTCTCTTGAATTTAATAACTGTTTCTCCGATTAGGTCAGTCAACCTGTCCTCACTTATCCTGGCGCATATAGGAAAGTTACGGTTGAGCTTAAGGTCTACTCTGGTTCTTCCACTCTTCCTTCATTTCTTCATTTTCTAATTTTTTTCTTTCTTTTTTGCTTATGGGTGTGTTTCGTATAATTTGCTTTTCTCTTATTTTTAGATTCATCACCTAGCTGTCAATGCTCTTCTGAAAAGTAACCAAGTGAATGAAATGGAAGGAGGTGCTTTATTTGGTCTAGACCAGGAATTGAATCCCGGTTCATATAATTCTGACAAACAATATTGTTTTGATGAGGCAACTGCTTGTGCACCTGCATTTCGTGTTCTCAAACAGTTAATTCAAAGATGCCTTTCTGATGCTGTTACATCCGGAAATGTGTTTGCAGATGCTGTATTGCAGCATCTGTATCGATGGCTTTGCAGGTTGCTTAACATCAACTTTTATTCACTATATTCATATATTTTATTCTTAATCCTTCTGCTACTTTCTTATGCAGTCCAAAATCTAAATTTCACGACCCTGCTCTCCACCGTATGCTCCATAAGGTAATTTCTTCTTCTAAAAACACGAGGGTCGTTGTTGAGTCAGCACAATCATTGTTCTTACAGGTTGGAACACCACTATTACATTCTATAGACACCATTTCTCCTATTTCCTTTGTTATCAGCTAACTGCATTCTTTTCGATGAAGGATCTTATATTTGTTGGAGAGGCTATCAAAATCTGCAGTTTACTCATTGAACAGATGATATCTTTATTGGCAGGTTATGCAAAAGGTGTTTGCTTTGCTGATGGCTGAACTTCGTAAATTAGGTGCGACAGTTGTATTTGCAAGCTTTGGCAGAGTGATAATTGATACGGGAAAATCAGATCTATCTGCAGCGAAAGCTTATTGTGAAAGTGTCCTTAAAACTCTACAAACTAGGTTTGTCTCGGCATGCATCCTAAATGACTTTTAACAGGTCGAATAGTTTAGTTTCTATTACATGATATGATATCTCTGACTTTATTTGTTGCAGGGACTTATTTGAGTGGATTGAACTTGAGCCTTTCCAGTTTTGGCATTCCCTACTCTTTATGGATCAGGTTAGCAGTGTCCTTGATATAGTTTCAGTTGCCTGGTCACTTCCTCTGACAATGAATGGCGTCATACTTGTTGCCAACTTTTTCATCTTGTTTCTAACGAAAAAACGAACGCGTCTGTATTTTATATGATTCCGTATGCATCTGCTGTTCAATGCTCTGACTATGGTTCTTATTGTACGTGTAAATCCTATCATAGAGCAGTAAATCATCATGAATATTGACATCTGCACAACTATTCAATAAATAAGTTAACCCATGTATGTGTGCTTTATGCACCCCTAGTATTTTTACCCTTAATTTAGGATAACAATGTTCATCCAAAAATTTCAACTCTGGTAATGGTTAATAGTGCAATTGCTGTTCGGTACAGGTTAGTGTTGACTTCTCAGTGTAGTTTGTTTGATGCTGGTGCTGAAATATGTGGATATCAGCTCCTCTCCTTAGAAGCTTCGTAAGAGGCATCAGTGTCAGATTTACATATAGTTGGATAAACATTTCAAAGAATAAAGATTTGTTATTAAATTGCATCACACTAGTACAAACTTCTAGACTGTTGCTTGAAAATTCACAACTAGCTCTTTCCGTAGCATAGTGCGTGCACATCTCACTTATCAAAGTAAAAGTGCATTCAAACTTCTGTTCTTAGTGGTTTAATATTGCTGCGAAAGAAGGATCTGAAATACTGGGTAGTTAGTTCTTACTCTATGTTTTATTATTCTGTGACATTTATGTTTTTTCTTCTTTCTTATTGGTTGGTTGATAATCCTACTATATTTGATAATTTTAATTGCATAGACTTCATTGTACAGTAATATTTGTGCTGTTTTGTCTTTCTGATACATATTGTACTTACTTTTTTCCTCTCATTGTCTTAACGACAGTACAACTACGGTGGAATCCAAGCTAGGTTAAAAGATGGATCCACAGAAGAAGATTCCCAGCAGAATATAGGAAGCATTGACAATGACCCTGAGGTAGATATCATCTCCAGCTGGAGTATCGCGGAGAACTTAACTAAAGAAACTCAGGTGGGTCATCCATACATGTAACTTGTACAGATTTGCTTTCGGTTATCTCTTTTACTTCCCGAGAGGGTTGATTTGCATATCAAATTTCATCAAGTGTAACAGAAAAGAAAAATTAGATCCCTGCTTTCTGACCTCATAACATAACTACTGACGCAGTACCCAGCTTTCTGACCTCATAACATAACTACTGACATCACCAAAAAGGTGTTGAACCATAAACACGACTGCAAACACTAAGCTACCCCTACCATTCACTGAACCACTATTACCATAAGAATTACGCATCTATTGACAATGACCAAGCCTCTGCTTCTCAGGTCCTAAACCTGCTTCACCATCATATTAAAATTGCCAGGTACCACTCATCATCATCATTGTAAACACAGTCGCAACCAGCCTTCCCAGAGAAAATGTGAAAAAACAGATATAGTAACTTCTATACATTAGGGGAATTCACTGGGATGTCAGCCATCCATGACCACCCCCCACCCACAAATTTCTACAGCCCTTCAGATTTTATCCATCATACAGCATATTTGCTGAACCAGTCTGATTAGATCAGATTGAAATGTGTGATATATTTCTTGCTCTGTGCAATTAATTGCTGTTCTTTTATGCAGGATCACTTCATCTTGATAGTTTCAGAATTTTTGTATTTTCCATGGAAGTTTGCACAAGAAGCAGCAGAGAAACGAGCATTTTCAACGGGTGACCTTTGTACTCCATCAATCACAGCTTCTGCTGCTGAAATTCTTGATTCACAGATGACAGAATTTCTGAAGAAAAAGGTTTGCAACTTTAGCTCATTTGAAATATGTTAAATTTCTTTTTTCCTAACATTCTCTACAAAATTTGAACTTCGCTTGTATACTTCTTCGTCCTACAGATTGGTTCTGAGTTTACAGATAAACTCCTCAAAATTGTCTGTAATCCAAGTCTTCACATGAAAGGAAAAAACAAGTCTCAGAGTGATCAGGACACTTCAGCTGGAAATTCGCAATCTTTGAACAACATCCATAAGGGGGATTGTGCTCTGGATTTCATCAAGTATGTCTGTGCAGTTTTGGCACTTGACCAAAAAGTTCAGCATGAAGTTCTGGTAAAGACCATTCATCTCCTGCGATTCAAATTTATTTACATTTTGGATTTTGAGTTAGTGACTGTTGCAAATATAAAATCATATATACAAATAAAAAAAATAATGCGTGAATCAGTGTTATCTTTAACAACGGAAGAATATAGTTTGAACTTGCCTATTATCCTTCTTCTGGAATAAAACTATGGACAGAATCACAAACGAGAGGTCCCTTCTCACCCCAGCGGGCTCTTCTGGCTCAAATGGATGCTACTACTGGAACACCCACTGATATATCACACATCTTAACCCCTTAGAGACATTAGTGATGCTCCAGGACAGATACGTACAGAGAAAGTTTTATTCAAGATATTTCTATCCCCTAACAGTTATATCCCAATATGAAATTCTCAACATCTAACTTACTAGACTGTTATTCAAGCGCCTTAGAAATTCTAAGATGCCTTTTTATATAACATAATTTTGGGAATTTCTAAGATGCCTTTTTATATATTCCCAACAACATTTCGTTGTTTTGAGTTTTCATTAACTCATTAGGTCTCAACTTATAAACTTACTAGACTGTTATTGCATTATTTTTTCCTCTTCGGCAGTTGACTATCTGCTCATATGAACTACACAGGTTTTCATTAGCTCACTAGTTTTAAGATTGTTTTTTTCCTTTTGCACAGGTCATGAGAAGGAATTTATTGAAATTGGTCCGCATTAGGGAATTTGCTCCAGAGGCTGAATTTCACAATCTACACATGTCCTTAACTCTACCAAACGTGGTTTGCAGGTGAATGTGGTTGCATTAATCGATCTTATTGGGATTTCTCTTCCATTCAAATACTTTTTTCATATTTCGTTTAATTAGTTACTCTGCTTATAACACGTAAAATGCAAATTTGTGTTGGCAGTTACTGCAACGACTGCAGAGATCTAGATTTGTGCCGCGACAGGTCACTGATGGGTCAGGAGTGGCACTGTGCGGTGCCTCGGTGTGGTCAACCGTATGACCGTGAAATGATGGAAAATGCTCTGCTTCAGATTATACGCCAGAGAGAGAGGCTTTACCACACTCAAGACTTGGTGTGCCTTAAATGCAATCAGATCAAAGCCGCACACTTGGCTGAACACTGCACATGCGCTGGATCATTTGCGTGCAAGGAAGAGTCCTCTGATTTCCGCAGCAAAATGCAAACTTTCTTGAATGTGGCAGTCACTCAGAAGTTTCAGCTGCTCCAAGAATGCGTCTCTTGGATCTTACAAGTATGATATCTAATTTAGTCACAGGGTATTTAAGCTGGTGGAGGGGCTGGATTGTATATTACAACAATTCTTTGATGTTATTTATACGCACATTGGAGAAATATATAAATCATGTAACGAACTGATTATACAAACTCATAAAATGCCTCTAATCGGACACAATTTTCATCTTGGCGGTTTTGCATAGCCTGAATATCAAGAACTAGTGTTCTATTTTGTTCATGTACTAGTAGATTTGAGTTGTGGTAAACTCTAAACTCAACGGAATGAATCTCTAGAAGAAGAGGTTTCTTAACGAGAAGCTAAGAATGAAAATGGCGAACTCGTGGTTCTTGTGATTCATTGGGCCTTTGGCCCATTAGTGCCGAACTGACCCTATCAAAACTAATAAATAGTAATGAAAGAAATTACTATAATTTCACTACAACTTATATATATGGCCTTCTCGAAATGACATTCTTAAATCGATATTTTTTTATTAATTATGGAAAAATAACACAATAACCTAGACTAGGTTAAGAAAAGTCAAAGACGAGATTCAAATCAAATCATTTTCAACAATAAAAAAAGAGTTATTTTTTTTCTGAAGTCTTCATGAATTAGCCATAAATGTATTTATTTATTAAAGAGTTATTGATTATATTTTATGGGAATTATATAAACTTTTAATAAATTTATTCTCTTAGAAATTTATCAAATTATTAATTTTCTATGGACCAATTCAATACGCAAAGGCTACACATTTCTGAAGAGTAAGGCCTATTTTGACAAGGCCCATATTCTAAGCCCAATTAACAAACCAAGGGTAATATCGGTAATGAAGCATATCAGATCCACTGTAAACCCTAATTATAAATTCCAAATCTCCGCACTCGTATATAGATACAACTGCGGACTTCATTTCTCGCCCTCATTGTAAACCCTAGGCAGCACCTAAATTTTCCAGTGATCAGCTTTCGTAGCCGTCGCATCTCTCAAGTATGTCTTCTCTCTCTCTCTCTCTCTCTCTCTCTCTTTCGTACATGTTTATGTTTTTGTTTCCTTCAATATAATCTTGATTTTATGAGATTCGGAAATTATTCATTTTGATTTTGATTTTGTTTGGGAATTGAATAGGGATGAAGGTTATCGCAGCTTACTTGTTGGCCGTGTTGGGTGGCAACACCAGCCCTTCCGCTGAAGATTTGAAGAGTATCCTCGCATCAGGTTCATTCCCACTTCTCTCTGCATTTACTATGTGCCCTTCGTAAGCATTGTTTGTTTGATAAAGTAATTATGTGCGTGGATTATTGGGTTTGTGTTTCTTCTCATGTGTACGAAGATTTGGGTCTCCGTTGTTGTTGTTTCCATTTCTTCTGTTGTGATTTCATTGGTTTCATGTTAAATTGGCAGTTTTTTGTTCGTATATTTTGAACTGTGGGCAAAGTATTTTACTCAAATGGGGTAAATGCAATGACAGTTAAGATAAATACACATTTCATTTGTTACATTGGCAAGATTGCTGTTTTTATTTCCTTGTGTGAACTGTTACGATTTATTGTTGTTTCTCACACATTAACTCTGGTTTTATTTAGACCATTACCTTGGTAAAAATGAAAACTTTGGTCTTCAGATCTTTGATAGACCATTACAATTTGAATTGTATGTCTGTCGGTAGTATTGAATTGAACTTGCTCGTGCTTGACTTGATATGTTTACTATGCTTGTTTTGCTTACACAGATTACGGTGTTTGAAAGCTAAAAATTCAATTGGTTTCACAGATGAGAAATCACCACATTTCTGATTTGATTGGCTATTCATTGTTGCAATTTGATCATCATGAATCAGCAGCAAGTTTTGTTATTTGTGTATACTGTTTGGTTGTTGATATTTGATAGTATCAAGGTTTTGATATTTGGAACCAGTATTGTGGATTACTGTAATAACTAATTGCTTTAATGGTACAGTTGGAGCTGATGCTGATGAGGACAAACTGGAGATCCTTTTGTCTCAAGTAAAGGGCAAGGATATCACCGAGTTGATTGCTTCTGGAAGGGAAAAGTTGGCCTCCGTACCTGCTGGTGGTGGTGGTGTTGCTGTGGCTGCACCAGTTGGTGGTGGAGGTGGTGCTGCCGCCCCTGCTGCTGCTGCCGAGTCAAAGAAGGAAGAGAAAGTGGAAGAGAAAGAAGAGTCTGATGATGTAATTCTCATCTATTCATTTTCTTTGTAATTATGTCGCAATTCTCATCTATTCTGCTTATCTTTTATTCTCCTGTCAATCTTGAATGTTTTATCTTGTGTACTGACTTGTCCTTTTTTTTTTTTGTGTGTTCAGGACATGGGCTTCAGTCTCTTCGATTAAGCAATTGCAAAAGTGGATTTTCTATATGAAAGAACACTCGTCAACTTTTCCTTCATTCTATTGTATTAGAAAGTGTTTCCTTTACGATTTTGGCTCTTGTTTTAGTTGGGATTTTTGTTGTTTAGGGAGACCATGGAGATATAATATTCTTAATTTTGAGTTATATTTTTCTGGATGATTTTAAATTATTATCCGTATTTCTCGTGTTTTCTTGCCTATAAAATTGTTATGTTCTGGTTTGACATTATTTGCTGCTTCCTTATGGCATGTATTTGTAGGGTTGAAAATCAAAGGTATATCTCCGGTAGTTGGCACTAGTTTATTTGGTATGATTTTGTTTGCGCTTGGTTTTTTTTTTTTTTTTTTTTGGCTTGTTAACATAACTATTGATTATCAAATTAAGTTTAATCTTAACTTGGAGAAATTCGACAGCAATTCAAAAGAGCTGAAATAAAAATGTATGTTTTGCTTTATTCATACACTATGTGTTAGTGCTTCAAATAACCAACAAATTATTTCTTTAGTTGTAGACTTGTAGTTCATTGTTTTCTGGTGAAGTAACCAGAACGAATCTACACATTTAAAAGAAAAGGAAAAAAAAATGGCCTTGTATTATGGTTTTACTACATACGAACACAGCCAGGATCGAAGAGAGATAATTAACAACAAAATTCATTAACCATAAGTTAGAAGTTACGAACAACTCTAAAGTACAAACGAAGTTCTGCCTTCCAAACTGCATTAGTACTTTTTACTCTGAAAACTAACGAGTAATTAACAACAAAATTCATGTTACAAATTTTCTCATCTAGTTCTTCTCAATCAAAACTAACAAAAATGAAGAGAACAATACAAAAGCAGTAATTTAAGAATCAACATTTGATTTAACTCTATGTTCGAAAGGTGAAATTAATTAAGAGCGCACCGATTCAAGGTAAGCTGGTGTTCTCATTTTGGGATAGTCACATTCAGGATTTTCACATCTTGGTATGGCCTGTCTCCCTTGTCTGTCTTTACTTTCTCTATACCCTGTTAAGTTGAATATTTTAGTGAGCTTTCACAAGAAAATATGATTCTTACGTAAAAGTGTATTTTTACCCGTTCAATCAAATTCAATGCAGGAATAACTTATAGGATATTTTTACCCCTTCAGTCAAATTCTATAGAAGAGTAGTACTTATGCTGAAAACAATTTGTGTGAGCCCACACATAAAGAGTGCATGGACCATGGTAATGGAGAATTGTTTAACGAAGAAAAACCCCGGAAAAAGTTGTTAGTGAATAGAATGGTACCTGGACAACATCCATCCCTTTTACAACTCTGCCAAAAACAGTGTGCTTGTTGTCCAACCATGGAGTGGCAACAGTTGTAATAAAGAACTGAGAGCCGTTTGTGTTTGGCCCCGCATTAGCCATTGAAAGTGTGAAGGGCCTGTCGTGCCTCAAACTGCAGAAAAAACAGAACCAGTATATCAACAAATTGGACCAACCTTGCACAGTGTGTGTAATAATTTTTTTTTTTTTTCTATTTTTATCTCAGGTGGAAAAAAGAGTACCATAATAAGGACCAAATTAGAAACTGAAAAAACTTACCTCTTATGGAACTCATCTTCAAATTCCCTTCCCCAAATAGATTGTCCTCCAGTGCCATCTCCGAGAGGGTCTCCTGTCTGAACCATAAAACCTTTGATAACACGGTGAAATATCAAATTGTCATAATAGCCATTCCTGCAATGTGTTGTGAAGTTCTCCACTGTTCTTGGACATTCTTCAGGATACAGACGCATGTGAATATCACCCATGGTAGTATGCATGATCTGAAAAAATGAAAAGTACCACAAAATTAGCAAAAATAGCTAACCAGTAGCTATATTAATTCAGTGGTTAATTTGCATTTGTTAGGGACTAAACCACCAAAAAGGAGAATAAAAAGGAAAAACACTCACCAAATTATCTGGGAGAGACGACGTCGCAGCTTTTCCAATATCAGATACAGATAAGAGCTCATCAGCAGGCGGTTTTTCATTAAAGACATCTCTGCCCTTTGTTGCATCTTCAGGTTCCTCGGGTTCTCTCTGGCTACAAAAGAAAAGAAGTAATCATTGGCTCCAGGCTTGCAAAGCCAAAAGTATTGTGCTTGATTAGGTTTACGAAAACGAACATTCAAGTTCAATGTCATACTCGCAGGTTTTCTTTATCGAGCTATTTGACTTAGTCTTCGCCTGACATAGGTTATCCGTCTACCATTTGCAAGTTTTCGTGTACGTAACGACTAAAGAGCATATTTAACTGTGCGTGTGTATGCAGAACCTTTAGCTAGCATGAGAGATGGGTGGTTACGATATTTTTTTTTAATTGAAATCCAGAATGCGAATGCATGAGCCTGATTAAGAATACCAAATTCAATTGCTAGAATAGGAATTAAACCTGAATAAGTAAATTCTATGCTTCTTGAAAGCACAACACAAGAGGGTGGGATCTATCAGAGGCTCTTTGCTTTCGTTGGCATTTGCCTCAGCAGCAGGAATCTTTCGTGCTCTTTTACTGCTTCGATCACCTTGGTACAAGGCAATTCTTAAGAATCTGTCATTATTCTCCACCTTTCCTAGGATCCGCGCAACTTTATTGGTATGTAGATTTATAACCTAAAAACACATCAGGAAAGAAACTGTAGGACCTCACTTGACGATTGTTGATCAATAAAACACAAAGCGATAACTCATCACACTAAACTAAAGTCCACATAAAAAGAAAATGTTTAGTAACAGAGTCGCACAAGAAGCCTTTTATCTTACTTTAATTCCAAGAAGGGTGGCATATATAAGGAAGTTGGAGCTTTCATCAAACACGGCATTAGGTTGAGGTGCATTTTCTGTTTTCTCAATTTCTTTTTCTATAGCCATTCGTCGTCCAAAATCAATAGCTTCAAGCCTGTATGGAGGAACATCACTCCTCTGTAGATCTTGGGCAACCTAACGAAGGAAGGACAATTTTCGTTAATACACTTAAAAAAAGACTGTGAAGTGGGTTAAGGAGACAGTGATTACACTTAAGAGAGACTGTGGAGTGGGTTAAATAGATAACTAGTACCTCAAGAGATTCATCATAAACACGCCTCAATTTTCCGGTTCTGAACCAAAATACGCGTATTCTACGATCAGGTGACGTGACTGAAAATTGCTTACCATCTGGACTTACCTAAAAATCAGTTACAACAGAGAGTAGCATTTGTAAGTCCGAGTTCCGAAAAGAAAATACCAGACAAAAATGAATGTTAATGGTAGAAACAGTAGTCTTGCATTTTATGAATTTGTGATATCATTACATGACTGAGCTATTCAATATTACCTCAATGGTAGAAACAGTAGTCTTGCATTTTATGATCGAAAACAGGTCTGTGTCACTTTTAAGCTTAAAAGTCACCCTGCACAACATATGAAAATATATCATCTCAAGACCTAACAGACTGATAAACTACTTAATAATTAGTCCAACTGATAAATTACAAAAGAAGACTACGATAAACCATTATGACGTGCAGTTTCATACACTTCATCTAATCCACAATAAGTTAGCCACTAGGAGAGAACTAACACAAACTTCAATAGAAAAACTCACCCAGTTTCAGGGAACTGAAGGGAAGTCGGATTCCAGTACTCAATGATTCCTTTGTCATCTGCAGAAATCACAGTGTCATATTCATGGTTGAACTTCATACATTTTATTGGGCCGATGTGTACCTGCCAAAAAGGACAAAGGAAATGATAATTTATTTAGAAGACAACCATGGAAAGAAACTGCGGAGTTTCTGCTTCACTTAATAAGAAAAATAGAAAGATACCTCTCTCGATGTTATTGATTCATTTGAACCAGAGCGGGCATCAAATATGTGAACGAAAGAAGAGTTGCGGTCACTAATAGCTAATTTCGCCTTTACATCTCCTTGTTTGTAGACCCATTCAACACAACCAGGCACAAAAGGAAGACGTATCATGGCCATCATATCATAGTTAAATACATCAAATATTTTCACTGAACGGTCACTGGAAATCGTACAACATAGGGTGCCATCTACACTAACCTGCAAGACCAAAAGAAATAAAATGTTCATCACTAGATTCAGAAACTGGATTAAGAATAAGAGATGACGATAAATCAAAGAGTTAAAAGCTTGAACCCATCGACATGAAAGAGGAACCCACCGCAAGGCCTTCAATTGGACCAAGATGGGACCTAAAATGTTTCGCAAACTCTACGCCGATGGGCTTTTTCTTCCAAAACTTTAAATGACCTGTAAAAAGACCAATAAATGAAAGCTGTAAACAAAAAATAAATCAACCAAACTTCAGTACAAAGAATTGAAGGAGTATGGCATCTTCATGAATATAAACAAAATACAACATATATGTAAGTTATTGAGGAAAAGATTAAAATTATTTTTTATTACTTTAGTTAATATTGTTGTGACTAATGGAAACTATTCATCATTATTCGTCTTCTGGGTACTCCAGGTAGAACAGCAAACAACAAAATCTTTTACGGCGTGATTGGCTTGCCTAATTAAGTTGGAATGAAATTGGTATGCAAGATTGAGAATGCTTATCCTCCTAAATATAAGCCAAAACTTACACCTACTCTGATGAAATACTTCTATCATCTTCTTCCAACTACCAAGATTTAATGTCATTTTTGTTTAACCATCTATAAGATTTGTCCAAATGATACAGAACATGATGGCATAAGAAATGCGGGGGTATGTCTATAACAATTCTTTAGATCCATATATCACTTCATCAAACATTTTGAAGCAAAGGAACTATCCTATATGAAAGATCTGCTCCGCTCACATTTATATAATAGAATGTCTATTCTCCATTAGTCATGATACACAGTGAAATGAGTGGTAAAAGTCAATTGCATAAAAAATAATACACGTGTTTTCAAACAGGTACGAAGCAAAATTTTAAGACAATTATCTGCAGAATCAGTTGCCAAAAAACTCATAGCAAATAACTAGAAATGTTGATTGAACAGGTCCTTCGTTCCTTCCTAATTAATGGGATCCAAAAATGATTCCCAGAATGATATAACAGTTAACTTTAGAATGTAATGAGATGACTAGAATTGTCCTAAAAGAATATTTTCATTATCAAATCATCTACTCAAAATAAAACAAACTATACATAATGTTCTCCATTACATTTCTCTCTCATTCCATCACATTGCCCAAAACATTCTCCCAATGCGCATACTCTCAAAGCACTTCACCAAAAACAGCCAAAAATGAATCCAAAATTCCCTATAGCGTGAACTTCAGTCTCATTCATGGTAGCAAAGCATTAAAGTTCAGATATGATTCCCTTCAACTTCTGAACAAGCTCATACTATTATGTGGAGTTCTCTAGCATTTTTCACTAGCTTTAGCAATTACCATACGAGTGAACTTCATAGGAAGAGTTTCCATTTTACATCCTTATCATATAGAGAAAGACAGGCCAGGCAGCCAGGATCAGGAAAAACAAATATGACAATCAATTGAGCTTCAAATTTCAACATTTTGCATTTCTCTTCTAGCTTCTCCACAAGCCAATCAGAACCCTAAAATTCTATGACAACTTACTTCCTGACATTTTTCAGTTCATTTACGAGACTTGAAAGACAATCCGAAATCAAGGGGCTCATAGCAGTACATATTCTAACAAATAGGACCATAGTTTAAGTAGATTCACAATCATGAAGAATCTCAAAACTGAATTTACAAACCTTACACTAGCAACACGGCAATGGCAACAAAAAAAAAAAAACTAATCTAAGCAACTTCATTAAAGAAAGTAAAAATCAAGTTCGCCCATACCATCTGCACTCCCAGTAATGAAAAAATCAGCCCCCGACACCGCTACATGAGTAACCACATCGCGGTGCATGTAACTCTTCTCATACCTGCATTGAATTCAAAATTCAAAATTCAAAACCAATTTGACTGCAGTACTATTCTGCTTGAATAAACAATATTTCGTTTCAAGCAGTAAAAATTCTGCTCATTCCGAAAGCCAAACATCAAAATCAAATTTATCACAGTACTATTCTGCTTGAATAAACAACATTTCGTTCAGGGGGTAAAACTTCTGCGAAAAACCCTAAACCCTAAACCCTAGAACGCGCAAACACGCAGTAATGGGGGAAAAGAACACATACATATTAGCGGAGGGAAGGGAATCGAGATAGGCCTGTTCGAACTGCAGAGGACGTTTGGCTCTGGCGCGAGGCGCCGGTCCGGGACCAACCATCGGCTCTTCATCATCGCCGGCGGTGGTGGGTTTTCCGTTGTCTTCCTGAGTTGCTTCCATTCTCTTCTTACTGGACTTGATTTACTAATGAGCAATGTTTTTAGCTCTCTCACACAATCATATTATTTAATTTTGAAAACTAATTTTTAATTATAAGAAATGTCATAAATACAATTAATAAATCAAATTATTTTACAGCGTATGTTATGTTCTTCTTCCACCATTCATATGGGCCTAGCTAAATTATACTGCTAGCTAAAAGGGCCTTTAGCCCAATCTCTTTAATTTTAGGGCTTTAGCCCTAAAATTAGCAGTCCAAATCTAAATTTAGCCTGACAAAAATGAAAATTCAACAGATTATTTACCGCTATTTACAAAAATTGAAATATTTTTATGATATTGTTTTCAAACGGGAAAATTCATACCTCTCATATAAGGGTCAAAATTACGATAAAAATCATTTATATTTGGACAATTACAATCACTCTTTCTTATTTATATATTGTTTTACACGTCCACCCGTACGAAGTTAAATTTACCCATTGAATGAGGAATTTTTTCGTAAGACAATATATAATTGAGAGAGTGACTCGAATTATCCAAATAAAAGTGATATTTTTTGGTGATTTGATTTTGTATTAGAGTGTTGGTCATAATTTTCAAATGAAAGTAATCAATTGTAATAATTGGTAGGTGTCTTTTACTTCACTTTTTTCACAAGTTGTGAAAAGTCGTAATTTGAGGATTTTTGTTTTTGCCCTTTTATATCCATCCTTTAAAAGTTATTAACCCTTGTGGGAATGTACTATGTATTGATAAAATAGGGTGAATTACGGCTTTTGAGATCCTACACCGGGTGAAATACACCGCACAGATCTTTACTATTTATATATACACAAACACACACATCCATATTGGTATGTGTAGATCAACGGTTAAAAATCACCCGGTGTAACCTTCACCGGGTGTAGGATAGATAAAACCGTGAATTACAGCCACCCGGGAGGTAATTAAGGTCAAAATTACGAGAAAAAAAATATCTTGTTTGGGTAAAATCTTCTTACATGTCCACTGTTGTGGTGTTAAATTTAATGGTGTTTTCTAGATCATGTGGAATATTTTTCAGTTTGTACCCATTTTACCCCATTCGAACTCTACATTTTAAAACAAGATGGTCATAAGAAGTGTCTCTTGGCTTGAAAATTGGTGCATCAGAAACTGCTTTTGCACAAAACAAGTACAAACTAGAGAACATTCTACAAAATCTAGAATATTATATTGAATTTTACACCATAAAAATGAACGTGTAAGATGATTCATAATTAAATAATTATTGTAATTATCCAAGCATGAAGGATTTTTTGTAATTTCACCAGAGTTACCGTAAGAGCAGTGCTTTTATTGAGTTACATTGGGCAGGTGAAATGAAACAATGCTATACTTTTAATTGCCCAATAAAGATAAATAAATATACAAAAATAAACACTATAATTGAGTGTATATTTTTTTTCCAGACAGTGAACCGCCTGCATTAATCTATATCAAATAGAATCACTAGTCCTTTTCTCCATCTTTAATGGTCGCATTATTATTACGCATTAAAATTCCACCGATTATAATAACTTATGTATTTTTTTTTTGAGTAATAACTTATGTATCTACTTATTAATTACTTTTTAATTTTTAAACAACTTGAATTGCCTTTTCTTCTGCTTTTCTTGTCGCATATAATCTGTCCCGTGCTATTTACACTTTTCGTATATAATCTAATTTACGAACTATTGCACAAATGAAATTTATCTCATACATTACATTCAATCTTAAATTATTACAACAAAATATGAAAACAAAGGCCTAATTAGTAATAAATTCAGGAAAAACTAATTAATTAGTAATATTAATATGTTTTGTTGGTATCTATATCTTAACATCAACATCAGTATCGTCGATTCCGTTTTCGACAGTTCACTAAACTTCATACACCTACCAGACTTTATGTTTACGGACAACGCCCTCTTTACTTTCAAGAATAATATTTCTTCATATTTTTGTTTAATATGTTTCTTGATTTCTCTTAAGAATGTATTAAACCTCGTATTCTGGTTTTTTTTTTTTTTTTTCTTTCAAAGTCTACTCCTTTTCTCCGCGAATTTAGGACCAACAAAAAAAAAAGAAATAAAAGTATTGGGAGTATATAGTATTACCCATATATTCATCATCATTCTTATCAATATTCATATTCATCATAATATTTGCAGCCAAAAAGAAAACAGTGCTTCTTCTCGTGATTTGCTTCAAGAAATTTTCTCTCTCTCTCTCTCTGTCTCTCTCTCTCTTTCTCTCTCTATGCTTTACAGTTTTCAATTATATACAGGCTCCGAACCCTCACTTTCTCGTGTTCTAGAGAGAGAAAAGAAGAGAGAGAAGGAAATTGTTACTCCTGTATGTATATATATATATTTATATATTTTGCTATGTGAAAAATCCATGATCCTGCTGCTGCTGCTTTGACCCCTTTTGCCAGGTACCTTCTTTCTTTCTGTCTGTTCTTTATTAGTTTCTCTGTATTCATATATTAATATGTACATGAATTCTTGTTTTTTTTAGCTTGCTTATTTTTCATTATTGCCCATTTTCTTATTTATTTATTAATTTTTTTTTTTTTTTGGGTGTGGGGTTGTTTAATAGTGGTCCAGTTTCTTGAAGTATCCTTGTTAATGGCCTGGAAATGAAAGAGACAAGATGAAATAAATCTGATTTAATTTTAATTTACATATAAATATATATAGAGAGAGAAAGAGATAATTAAATTTGAACACCTATTTTGTCAGCACTAAATATTGACAACTTCAATCTGCAACAGGACAAATCATCAAATCCAGTTCAAACTTAGTACTTGCTTGATTGGTTTAGAAATTATTTGAGCTAGCCAATCCATGGTGGTTAATTAAGAAGCTCCGACAATCATGGATTGTAGTAACGAAATAATAGAGTTGACGGAAAATTACGATTTCGCCCCTAAAGTCGGCGTCGCGAGACGGCCTCTGGAGAAGCACGCCATCGGCGATGACATCAACAAACTTTTCGAGGCAATAGAAATCGGGAGGACCGGCCGTAACATTACCCGAACGCAAGGGCGTTTTCGAGATTCTACCCGTAGAAATCCCGCGAAAAGACCAATGAGAGGAGGCATCGGAATTTCGGAGCCGGTGAGTTTGAAACAGTCCCTTAGAGGATTATCCATCTCACAAGCATCGGAAATGGCTGCCGTTAAGAAAAGAATGTCGAGACCGTTTTTAGTGATCGAAGCCAACCAGGGTCAAAAAAGGAATTTGATGGAGATTTCCCTAGTACCCGAAAAAAACCTGTCGAAAAATATTTCCGACAAGGCAAAGAGTACTGCTGACAAAGCAAATAGTACTACTACTGTAGTGGCAACAACAGAGTTGTCACAGAGCTCGAAAAGCAGCACCACGACGAGCCACAGCGAAGAGAGCTATTATCATCTAAGTGGGTCCCACCGAATCGGATGTAGGCCCCACATGTCGAAGGACTCGAAATGGGAAGCCATAAGAAGTATACTGAAGCAAGAGAATTTGATCAAATTGGGATTGAGGCATTTCAAGCTGTTGAGAAAGATAGGCGGTGGAGATATTGGCAGGGTTTATCTTTCCGAGCTTATCGGCACGAATTGCCTATTTGCGGTGAAAATTATGGATAACGGTTCTTTGATTACTAGGGAGAAAATGGCCAGGACAAAAACGGAAAAGGAGATACTCGAGATACTCGATCACCCTTTTCTTCCGACGCTGTATGCACATTTTGCCACGAATAAGTTCTCGTGTTTGGTGATGGAGTACTGTCCAGGTGGCGATCTGCACGTGCTCCGTCAGAAGCAACTCACCAAGAGCTTCCCCGAGAAATCGGCCAGGTGAAAAAATGTTTTCGGAAGATTTATAAATTATTCGCGGATTTACTCACAATCACCAACTTTTACTTATTCAGAAGCCTCGAAAAATGTGCAGGTTTTACGCTGCGGAGGTACTTCTTGCATTGGAGTACCTTCACATGCTCGGAGTGGTGTACCGAGACCTAAAACCCGAAAACATTCTTGTAAGAGAAGATGGCCACATCATGCTCTCTGATTTCGATTTGTCCCTCAGATGCACCGTAAATCCCACGCTACTCAATTCCTCGTCTTTTTCGTCCCCTGCAATAACAACAACGGGGGGCCCACCAAAGAATATTCCAAGTACCCCGTGCTCCGATTATTCTAACTGCACACACCCTTTCTGCCTCCAACCAATCTCGTGGCAACAACTCTCTTGTTTCACACCCGGGTTTTTATCCAAAACACGTAAGCTGAAAACCGAACTAGCCATCAACCATCACCCACTGCCGCAACTCGTGGTGGAGCCCACGAGCGCGCGGTCCAACTCGTTTGTCGGGACCCACGAGTACTTGGCTCCGGAGATCATCAAGGGCGGGGGCCACGGGAGCGCGGTGGATTGGTGGACGTATGGAATATTCCTCTACGAGCTTTTGTACGGTCGGACGCCATTTAGAGGGTCGAGCAACGAGGAAACAATATCGAATGTGGTTTCTCAGCGTCTGGATTTCCCCGATCGTCCCGCGGTGAGCTGTCAAGCACGAGATTTGATCGAACGGTTGTTGAAGAAGGAGCCGGAGGGGAGGATGGGGGCGGTTAAGGGTGCGGTGGAGATTAAGCAACACCCGTTTTTCGAGGGGGTGAATTGGGCTTTGGTACGGTGCGAAAAGCCGCCGGAGGTGCCGAAGTCGTTCGATTTGGCTAATGTTGTTGTTGTCCCTCATACTAAAACAAGCAACTTGTTTAGGAAAGAATTTGAGCTCGGTGAAGAATGTGAAATTGAATTTGAGATGTTTTAGCAAAAAAAAAAAATTAAAAAAAAATCATATATGTGTACATTTTTCCATTTACGCAAAAAATAATAATAATAAAAAATAAATAAAGGAAAATAAATAGAAAGCAAAAGGAGATATTCAAAAGAATTGAGATTCCTTCTACGATGAGGACCTTGTGCACAGTAGCTACAGACATAATCCCAACTACACCAAAATTACCAATTTGCCACCACAGTCGTCTTCTCCCCCTCAATTTCTCGCCATTTCTCCATTATTCTGCGATTCGTTCACTCAAAAGTACGAGAATAGCAGTGAAATCCACTAGAAGAACAATAGCTGCAAAAGCTTCATCAATGGCGGCAGATGGTGATTCGCAGACTACAAAACCATTCTCAGTTCTATTCGTTTGCCTCGGCAATATCTGTAGAAGCCCAGCCGCCGAGGGTGTATTCAAGCATCTCGTCAGTCAACGGAATCTCGACTCAAAATTCTACATTGATTCTGCAGGCACCATCAATTACCACGAGGTGTGTGTTTTTATGTGTGTGTTTTCTTAATTTTTTCGTGCAAATTTCATTTCGCTGTAAAAGCAGATTAGTAAATTGAATTAGGGCTGATGAAAATGTTTATTTTGTTGTGTGTGTGTTTCTCTATTAATAATGAAGGGCAATCAAGCGGATCAAAGAATGAGAGCAGCTTCGAAAAGGCGTGGAATCGAGATAACTTCGTTGTCGAGGCCAATTAGGGCTTCTGATTTTAGGGATTTTGATCTTATTCTTGCAATGGACAAGCAAAACAGAGGTACATTAATTGTCTAGAAAGTCGATTTTTTCGGAGTTCCTCCATTATATGCAGTTGATACTATAGGATAATATGCTTATACTGATTTTGTTATTGTACAAAGAGGATATAATCGGTGCGTTCGAGAGGTGGAGGCACAGAGAGACATTGCCTGCTGATGGAGCTAACAAGGTCAGTAAGCTTATGTTGATGCAATATGGATCGTAGTCGTACTACGTTTTACTTTTTTTAGGTTTTGTGTAGAAGCTGCCTTAAGGGAAAATGTATCGTACTTTTGATTATTTTAATCAAAGTATCATGTATTGATATTTTTGCAGGTTCAGTTAATGTGTTCGTACTGCAAGAGACATAGTGAAACGGAAGTGCCCGACCCCTATTATGGTGGACAACAAGGTTTCGAGAAGGTAATTAGATTTAAATGTTTCTTTGGCTGCAACCAGTTGATATTATTTCCTTTGAGAACTCTTCGTACGGTTGAATATATGCATATATGAATCATGTTTCATTGGGGATGATTTAATATGGCCGTTTTAGTTACCGTCCCTGTGAAACGAGTCGGGGGAACATAAAATAATTAGCCATCTGTTTTGAATGGAATCCAATTTATGATGTTTTCTTTTTACTTGATACACTTCTTTTATTCTTGGATAAAACACTTGAGTAAAATGTTTTATTTGTAATAAGAGTAAAGTGATAAACATTATACTCACCGTAATAATATCACATCCTCACGTTTTATTACAATCTGTTGGCTAGTGCCTACCATACGGGATAACTGAGATCCTCAGTTCCTCTGAATGATTTTCACTTGTTTTTTTTCATTCGTGTATTATTACTTGCTGTGTAATCAGTTGACGTCTTTTTGTTTTCCAAGTTGCGCGTTAATTTTAATTATGTGGTATGCACTGAGAAGGCGAACTGATTAAAAAAGAAAACCCGCAAATTGTCCACTGCGCATTTGGCAGGTTCTGGATATGCTTGAAGATGCTTGTGAGTCACTACTGGAAAAAATTGTTACCGAGAAAAGTCTTGGTTGAGTTTCGAAGCTGTGCATGTTGGATCTTTGATTGTTGGCACATCGCAAATGCTCATTGGCTGTCTTAGTTTCGCCACATAATTTGCATTTGCAATTATTCACCAATTAGATTATGCTTATTGTTTTCCAGTATTGGTTAATCTGTTTTGGCTGTAATTCAGAGTTAAATTTAACTGAACATTTGTTTCGAACTATTATTTGTATACATACACAACATGCTGGATATGATATATTCGTGCAATCACAGCTACATAATAAAATTATGTCCACAATTTAATACACGGAAGTCGAAACAGGTATCGAATAAAAAATCACGCTGAAGTTTCATCCAGCTGAGAAATCAAGGTTTTTGAGGTAAATATATATATGTACTATCAAAACAAAGCTAATCATATACAGAGTGGAACAAACTCTGCAAGAGATCCCACCGTATTCAATGTTCAGACAAAAAAATCGATTCATATAATAAAACTCTTCTTCGGTCCTTTCCTAGGACGTTTACCCCTCGGATTAGCAGAAAGTGTCCAAGAGAAGGTATTAAGAAGATCTGCATCCTCGATGTTGACTAACATATTAGCAGCATTAGGGTTTTCCACGAGGAGTTTAGCCACTAAATATCCTGCAATAGACCATGTCTGAAAGAGGTGTGCTTGTTTTCCTATGAATCTTGCTCCTTTAGTATCATAGTATTCGGGCCACTTGTCTCTTCCTAAACGTTTTTCCGCAACTTTGAGTGCTTTTTCTGCAATCTCCGGTCTATTCATTTTTATGCACGCCACAGTCAACTGAGAGAGAGAGTACACAAACAATAATCAGGTAATTAGAAACAAACAAACATGAAAATCACATTAGCATTTGTGACCAATGATGCAACTTAAAAAAAAACCACGGTAGTGAAATTGTTAACAAAACAGCAGCTTAAAGACGATGTTGCAAACCAGACAACAACATTAATATACTCCCTCCGTTTCTCATATTAAGTGTTACGATAAAGAGAAAACGAAAAAGCCACAAATGGGTAAATTAAGACTATTTTATAACTTTATTAATTAGTGTGCACCAACTTTTAAGGACACTTAATACAAAACAGAGGGAGTAACAAAGGGGAAAAACAAATAAGAAGAGGTCCACAAAGAAAAAAAAGGGAAAAAAAGAAGACGAAAAAAGAAACTTAACCTGCCACAGCAAAGTTGGCCAGGAACCACCATTGTGATAAGACCAAGGCCTGCAATAGAAAGCAACAATATATATATTCCAAATTCCCAAAATAATTTAAAAAATAAATAAATAAATAAATATTACGTGTTTTTCGGATCACATCCAGTGATTATTCGCCATTCCTGACCCTCGAGAGCAGGGTAACATATCTTCATAGGCATGCCAGCTATTAGATCAGACCATTTGGCTTCAATAAGATCCAATATAGCATGTGACTGCTCTGTAGTAGCAAGACTGCATATTATAGCCCATAAATTTCCTAGAGCAAAGAAACGGAAGTCCATGTGAGCTGGCTGAAGGTTTCCGATAAGAAAGCCTCCTTTGTTTGGCATCCACTCCACAAGCCATGGAGGAATCTGGTCCGGGTAGATATTGAACTTGTTGACTGCATCAAAAGAATATTCCTCTGTCTTGTACCGGTATATCTCGTTCAGCTTCTTCATGTCAACCCAGTAGTACTCTCTGATGTGAATTGATAAAGCCACTAACCGATTGTTGAGGGCCGTGATTAGGTCTGATGGAGCATCCTCTGGAGCGAGCATCTCGCGCGCACAAAGCAGAGCGGAGTAGAATAGTGACTGAAAATTAAATGGCCAAATTATATTTCAATTTCTTTTATGCGTTATTTTTTAATTGAAGAGGACGTAAGAGAAAACCTGAATTTCGAGTGGGTGGCCATGGATACCCATGCGTCGATCTATCATGCACGAACCATCGGTTACTAATAAAGTTGGAAACATGTCAAAGCCATCTGATAAACAAAGCTTTAGAATCATTTTAATGCCAGTTTGTACATCGATTCTTTCCTGGACGGAACGATCTCCAGTGCATTTTCCATATGCGCGTAATAGTATGATCCACCACAAACCTGAACAAAGAAAAGTCAGGATGTTGTACATGTACAGATAGTCGGAAATACCAAACCTGACAGAAGAAAAGTCAACTAACCAGAGTCAACGGGGGCCACACGACCAATTGCCGCCTCACCAAAGTCAGGGTCTAAAATCTCTTCAGTTGCAGTATCATCGCCATCTAGTGGCACAACACGTACTTTGAAACTTGCTGGCATTAGTCCTTGTCCAGGACTATGGCAATCCATGGTTTTCTCCCAACTCTGCCCGCACAAAAGAAAGACTTTTAATAAAAGCAAAAAGTAGCTACACTAGCCAAAAGTTCGCGAACTTGATCCAATGCAGCATGTGAATCTGAACATGGAATTTTCCGAACATTTATAAGATGTCTTTTGTAAAAGCACTTACTAATTACTACCTAGAGTACATGCGTTATAGTTTTCCACGCAAGTATGGGTAGTAATAAACAAATAGCTTACGAACATGATAAAAAATTATACTGGAAATTATTATCAAGGATCAATACATTACCTGCAGCTGAAGAGTGTGCAAGATGAAGTTCCTAACAATTTCGTACTCTCCCTTTAACAGGAAAGCAATCCCAGAAGGTATAAAATCACGGATAAACACTTGATCATAGTTCAGCATGTTCGAGTCACTCGGGTCATTAGCAGCGATTGTACCAACAGGGTTACCACAGTAGTACACCATCGATGCTCGCAGCAAATTCCAAGCTTCATCCTCCAAGTCATTGGCCCCACTTCCACCGAATGTATTGCCAATCGCTGTATCTAACGTCAACTCATTATTCAACAGAAGACCATCCTTATCGTGTTTTAAATACTGTGCTGCATCAAGATCCTCGGTCACACCTTTCACCGTTCTTTTACTTCCATCCTCTCTAAATGCCTCTTGAACACTTTCAGCCCCACTGCAATTGCAAAGTAAAGATTTCGACCGATTATCGTGTTCCTCTCCAAATATACCATCTCTATTTCTAATCACACGTCTTCCCACATAATTTTGAAATATCCCTTTCTGAGATATGCACCCATAATCGTCGTACTTTTTGCTTCTGACGCTATATTTAAAGGAACACGGTGAAGTTGATCTCGAATTTGCATAAGTTTGACATGGCACTGGCCTACACAGAAAGTGTAGTGCTGCTTCTGTAGCAGCCATAGCAACTAGAAATTTATACTTACGGTGACGACCACGTTTGTTAACCCTAATCTTCGATGGTCCTAACAGAGTAAACAAAAAAAAAATCGGTTCAGAACTAATTACTGTCAACATACCAATAAACTGCATAGATGAGAAAAATCAATTCATATCTTGAACCAATAAAAAAATTTGTGTCTCTTTTTCTCCAATTCTCATTTCATTTCCTCGTCAGGGATATAACGAATACACTATCATCATGCAAAGAACTTAACCTAATTGCAGATAATTAAATAAATAAAATAAAATAAAAAATCTTATCCTCTCCCTAATTTAAATATAATTTTGAAACAAACACAAAAAAAGGAACCACAATGCTCACTCGATTTTCGGTTTGTTCTTCCGGGGGAGAAGTTTCGTGTATGAGAGGATCGGCGGGAGAAACCTCGGCGATGAAGGAGATTGAGCACGGCGAGTGTGTGCGGCGGCGCGTGAGAAAGAGAGGTTGGGCGACGCGGGTTTTTGACAATAGTACTCTACACGAATTTTGTGTGAAACGTGGTTTTGTAGGTTAACCCAATTTTGGAAACACCATACAAATGGTATATCACTCACCACTGGTCCACTGCTCCACTATTCACCAACCAACTGGATAATTTCCATTTTTTATTTTATAATATTTATTTTGGGTAAATTACGAAAACAACCCTGAACATAGGTTTAATTACGAAGATCACCTCCACCTATTCAATCCTCAATTTGAACTTTGAAATCGTTCGTAAACACTTGTTTAAACTCGATTTATGATCATAACAAACCAAATTTGAACCCATACTCACTCGATAAGTTATAAAACTCTACTCGAACTTGGTTATGAAAAAAATGATCAAGTATGTAAAAATTATTAAGCTACTCTAGCTCGATCGTGTTCAGCTTGTTCGAGCTCTCAGTTGCTTATTGAACCAAACTCAAACACAACTTTGAAAACTCAGATAAAAAATCAACGTTCGCTGAGATTGTTTCATCTATGTTTTAATAAAGCTTTTTTCTTGCAAATAAATGAAATTAAATAAATAAATAATATTTTAATGTTCCTGCTAATAGACAAAATAATAAATATACACACACAAATGGTACCTAAAGACAATATTAGTTACTGTCATATATTTACATTTTGACAATACATAGTTAGCCAAACAAAAAAAAGAAGGAAATAAAATTCTCCGATCGTAAAACTATATGATTCATCCGAAAAGGGGGATTAACTCTCTATGAATCATCCATATTCTGATCATTGTCATTATCACCGTCGTAATATTCGTCGTCACGCTGTACTTGCTTGTCTTGTGCATGTCCTGGCAATACATTACAAATAAACGTAATTATTGCACAATTATTAGTATTACTGTTACAAAAATCGTTTTATCAGAAAAAAAAAATCAGGGAAAAGTAAAAGAGGCTTGATCAAAGGTGGTTGTTTTAACAGTAAGGCTGTGATTGGTTCATGGATTTCAAAATAAGGAAAATGAAAATGTAAAAGAAAAGGAAATCAAGGACTTTTGAAATCCCAGTTGTGTTCGGTTCCTAAGTAAAATGGTGATGAAAATGGCTTTGTGGAAAATCATTTTACTTACTTTTGTTTGGTTTCTAGGAAAAAATGTGAAATGACAATAAATTATTAAATGGGGTAATTTTATTTTCTATCAAAGATGTAAAAAGTAAAAAAAAAAACTATTATATTTAAAAAAGAAAAAAAATACTGTGATTATGAATCTAATTTAATAATTTATTGTTATGATGTGTGTATGTGTGTGAGAGAGAAGAGGATGAGGAGGAGAGGAAAGGAAAAGACAAAATAGGGAGAGAGAGAGAGAGAGAGAGAGAGAGAGAGAGAGAGAGAGAGAGAAAGGGAAGAGAGAAGAGAAAAGAGACAATAAGAGAATTACATGGCATTTTCATCGCTTTTCTTGAGGAAAATGCATTTTCCTAGTTTTAGTGTAATTTTTTTCTCACTTTTTCCATGTAATTACATTATCTAGCACTTTACCTTGCAACCAAACATGAAAAACAATTTACCTAATAATTTCACCTTTTTACTCATTATTTTCCTTAAACCAATCAGACCCTAAGACTTTCACTTACGATTCACACGCTGATCGGGATTATGCTGGTCTTCATCAAAGTCGGGAATATAAAAATCCGGAGGCACCTATAAATTACAATGCGAATTCCGAATGTAGCAATGTTAATCTATTGAATTAATCAATAATGAATGTTTAAATATAATTGGAGTGGAAGAAGTTGAATGTGTATTTATTTACCTCTTGCATCTGTACACCAGGAGCGTGTTGGATGGCGCTAAGATTTTCACACACTTGCTGTCGGATAGTGTTGAGATACGATTTGCTATTTAGATTCTCCTGCCAAATCAGCAATTTAAGAATATACGAAAAACTCAAATATCGCTTACTTTATTCCAAGACCCAAAGTAAAATATGTGTGCATAAAGAATTAACTGACATAAGTTGATTCAAAACAAAAATCGGGCAAATTACGGCCACCCCCCGTAAGCCCAAATTACGAAAAAAAGAAAAACCCCTCTTGTTTGGATAATTACAACCCTCCGTCCAACTATGTATTGTATTACGAAAAAACCCCTCTTGCAGTAGGTAACTTTGACACCATAAGGGTGGACGTGTAAGACAATACATAGTTGAAGGGGTGATTATAATTACCCAAACATGAAGGGGGTTTTCGTAATTTGAGCATACCTTGGGGGTGGCCGTAATTTGCCCTTAAGAGAATAAGTCCAAGTAGCAAAGAGGAGCATTAATCTAACTATCGTGCTTCACATACCATGTGTCCACTGGGGCATTTCAGGGAGTAATCCGGAGCAAAATATTTGATGTATTCATTTTCCGGGATCTCTACAAAACAAAATATATATAAAAAAAAACGAGGTAAGTGTGAAATTAGAGACGATAAATATATATAAAACTAACAAGAAAACTATCTCAGACAATGTTAAGAACAAGTTCCACGAATGTGTCGTAAACATACCATTAGGGAGCTCGACATCCAAAAGAGCACCAGTCTCCACAGTCCAGCATCTAGCAACGTTCTCTTTAGTGTATCCTCCACCTCCAGTTACCTGCAACAAGAAATACACTTTTTCAAAGTGTAACAAGAGGAAACTGTACGGCCGTTAACTGTATGTATACTCTATGCACATGCCTACCAGCAAAGGCAAATTTAGTTGCTTCACAAACTTAACACAAGCTGCATGCCCTGCATGCAAAAATCAAACACGAAAATAAACTAATTTAACTGTCCGATTGGCTAACAGGATTTGATTTTTTTTTAATATATATATATATATATAGACACATACGTATATAACTAAAAAAAAAAAAAAAAACTTGTGAAATTACAGGAATATCACCATCAATGGAAAGGTTGAAGCAACCCAAACGGTCCCCAGCAAGCGAATCAGCTCCACATTGGAGAACAATGGCTCCAGGTACATAGCACTCCATAACCTTCAGAATGATCTGCAAACATGACGGGGTGAGATAGCTCGTATTTTATCATTGCCCAACGAGATACAGCAATAAAAAAAAGTTGCGAGAAATTACCATTTTGAAGAGACGAAAGAAGCTGCCATCATCTATTCCGTCTCTTAGAGGTACATTTATGGCATAATTTTTGCCTTCTCTTTCTCCTACGTCCTTCGGAAATAAATAAACCCAAGGTGCAGAATTTTTTCAACATTGATACATATTTATAAAAAAATTAAAAAATAAAAATAAAAAATAAAAAATCGGTTGAGGAAGCACCTTGACGTCACCTGTTCCGGGAAAGAACATGTCGCCGTACTTGTGAAAACTAACAGTCATCACCCTGCCGTATCAAAGGGTACCATTGTAATTAAAATGTCGCACTGATATACGTTATATTCTGTTCCACCGTTATTTATTATCCACTAAATTTATAGACGACAAATATGCTTATCTGAAAACTGGTCAACATCTTGAGTTAAAAGGGGATTTTTATATACCGTTCTAATGCCTAATAAATTACCTATCAGTGAAATAAAAAGCTTCTTCGACCCCGTCACCGTGATGCACATCGATATCAATGTACAGCACACGCGCATGATACTTCAAAAGCTCCAAAATTCCCAAAACTAGGTCGTTGATGTAACAAAATCCAGATGCCTCACACTTCTTCGCGTGATGCAATCCACCAGCCCAATTTATTGCAATGTCGCACAGCTTATTATTCAATCTACGTGCAGCATCTGCCATAAGAAATAAACATGGCTCAATGAAGGTTGTGCAAACAAAAAAACGATGGGAGAGGCACCGCATATGGGTAGAGGATTTACCTATTGTACCACCGGCATAAATTTGACAAAACTCAAACAGGTTCTCGAAGATCGGACAATCTTCTCCAAGATTATCTACAAAGAAATAGTAGGCATTTGGGAAACTGCATTAAAGCAAGATGATCTGAAAAACCGTAGTCTCGTATTTGATCAAGTAATCTTTCTTCCGTATGTTAGGAAACTAGACAATAATTCTTCAAGAAACCATGAACAGTTGTAGCTTGCCATATCTCATTCGTCAATCAACCAACCAACTAGGTTAGTGCGATCAAACGATTGTGATAATTTCAAGCAGTTCGAAACAAATTTATGATTTTTATTACAAAGTACTTATTAAAATGCACCTAAATTCCAGGGCGGACAGATTGACTGGCTCATCTCTAAGTTAAAATTTCATAAGTTAGGATTAATTATCAGTAGTATACTATCAAGCAGCAGACGAACAGACAGAAAATAGTTCTACTTCGTACGATTTCATCACACAAAAAATAAAAAATAAAATATTCTTGCATTTTGCCATAGCTGAATGGCATTAAAAAGTTGGCGGTGCATAAGAATACGAAGGGACATTTACGTTTAACCATCTCGTTCGAGAAAAGCTCCTGTGTGTCGGGAGTGATTCGCTGCAGAAACTCCACGTAATCGGGAGAATGGAACTGCGCTAGCTCCACGGGATACGCCTTGTGAGGCCTCTAACAATTCACAAACAACTCATCAGCAAAACAAACTGGAAATGTAGACAAATTCAGAATTGGGAAATAAATAAATAAATAAATAAAATCGAATTAAGCAAAGAAGACGAACATAAATTTCCATCTTGTGGTGGAGATCGTAAGAGAGAACCAAATGATGGGTCATGCACAATCGGTGCGGTTTCATCGGGTGGTTCGGCCCGAAATAAACGTTGCCCACATCCCCTGCGGTTCAATTTCTCCGGTTAACACAGTTCCCGTTGTTTTCACACATATAAACACATACAAAATTGCAAAAAATGAGCAGATTGGACAAACGAACCGTCATAGAAGTAGGAGATTCTGTCCTTGCTGCGCATACCGGAGTGAGGCTGGGGTTGTAGAGACGATTAATAATTGAATTTATTCAGTATTTGTCTGCACTGCCATTGCCGAAAACTAAGAAAATGAGACGTAATTACTGGTGAAAACAAAAAAAACCCTAATTCCGTTCGAAATTTCAAGTGGTGTTTGTTGTATTAAAAAAAAACCAGGTTGAGTTCTTTGGTCCGTCTACTAGAAAAATATTGAAATTTGTTCTTCAATAATCACACATAGATAAATCATCACAGATTTATGAGCTTTCTAGTTTAACTTTTTCTTGCAAAGTAAAACCAGAGTCCACAAATAAATGTGTAAATTACACATACACCCCTGAGGTAGTTTAAAATAACTTATAGGGTTCATGTAGTATTGGTAATTACAATAACCCCTAAAACATTGAGAAAACGTAATGGAATAATGCATTCGGTAAGTTATTCCGTTAGGGTTCTAACCGACTATTAGTTCCAGACAGTGGTGGAGATAACATGGAGTTAGGGGGTGACATGACTCTCAATATTTTTTAAATCCTTATTATTTTTATATACGATTTATAAATTTCCATCTATGGTAGCATTAGCGGCCCTGGAAACAAATATAGTGCATATCGGGGAATTTAGTGCATATCGGTCCCCATGACATAAAATCTTGGCTCCGGTAATTATTTCATGGGTGTAACTGTAATTACCAATACCACATGGCCCTTAAAGTTATTTTAGTATACCTCAGGAACGTAAATGTAATTTACCCAAAAATTTGTTTTGGATTATTTATTATTTTATATTTTAATGATGCATTGCACAAAAAATAGTACCCATTGAAGCAACAATTCTTGTTATGTTTTGAATTTTTTTCTTCTAGCAGTATAGACAGATATGTAACGGCCAACTCCTAAATTGTTTTTCCCATAAACAACCTTGAATTACACAATATTGGACCTTGAATTACATAATATTGTCAACATTTTATTTTATAATATCATTACATGCACATTCAACTATTTAAAAATACCATGTAAAAAAAATTAGTACCAAATTAGTTTACGAGAAAAGCATCATCAAGAAACGAAACCAATGCCGTAATTTCGTAGTTTATTTCACAAACAACCAATTTACCGACAGTGGACTAAATACAACCACTAATCAAATAGTCTGCATTTAGAAATTATTAGCACTGAACAATGCAGATAAAGAATAAAAAACGAGTTTCGAGATCCAAAAGGCTCGAAAAGTTACAGCTTCCCTATGAATCGATCATCATTCCTTCTTTCCAATCCCATTAGACATGTTATAGATCCCTCTTCCCTGTACAGTATTTATCGATTATACAATTTGAATCTAAATAATATATGGAATAAGAATTGAAAAGGTCGATAAAAGAGAAGAAAATGAACTCACGATAAGAAACAACGAAGAACTTGCCAAAGCCAAAGGAATGGCCACAGAGGTGATCTTATCCATTGGTCCTTTCAGATGTATGTGTTTGTGTATGCTCTGAAAAAGCCTTTGCTTCTCGACAAGAATCTCTCTTGCCCTAAACGGAGTTTCAGACATCCTGCACGATTTGAATTAAATATTTCAATCTACGAAACTTGCATGATCCAGCAACAATAATTCAAGCAAATGTAATACAGAATGTGATAGTGATCACAACCAACCAAGAATAATTGAACGACGAGAAGATTAATTGACACCTTCTCTTCAAACGAACATCAAGCTAAAAGCCTTCTTTTCGTCAAAGAAAGATGCTTGTGAATCTAGAAGTAATAAACTTGCACAGAATTTTCCATGTTGCCTTTTTTCTTGTATACTTGATCCAATATAATAAGCTTAACGGATAACATAATGAAGTATCTGAAGTAAATGCATTAAATTACGAGACCAAAATTTCACACGTTGACAAGCAAGAAATCATGCAAGCAAATCATGATGTATTTCGTCGATTCATACAAAATAACCGCTTCGTAAGAGAAAAATGGAAAAGAAAACAAAACTTCTTATCTACTGAAGATATGAATTTAAGAAATAATACTGCAGGCAGTTTCAAGCTATTGACCAAAATACTATTGATTTATCTAGTCGATCCCCTACATTTTTACGATAAGAAATTAGAAAACGTGTTAATTAGGATCCATAAGTCGTATCACACACTTTGCTTTGCATATAACTACCAAACAATAATTCAAGTTCAGCTACTCACAATAGCAACGAACTACAAACAAACTCAACTCTTCCCTTTAAACATTTTCAGCAAACTTGTTTGCGAACATGTAAACAAGAACATGCAAGATCCACAACTAGAAAACCGAGAAACATAATGTACCTGGCCCAATACCTCAACGAATGAACTTTCATACATAGATATTCACTCAGATCGGTTTTTGTACACCATCTCTATCTTTTCATGTAGTAGCTACTTCTACTTTTTTTTCTTATTCACCTTTTAATCTCTTTCTTCGGCAACGCAACCAGGAATTAGCAACAAGAAATGCCAAAATCGACAACAAAAAAGTATCAAACGTGTACAACAAGATACACACACACATCGTGCATATTAAAATGCATTCATAAACAATAGTTTGATGGAATCATAGCTAATGTATAATATGCCCCAGTCCCATTCTTCCACCAGCCCAATTATTAATAATCGCAGCAAAATTCATACAATGTAAATTCCCACCACCAAAAAAAACACACAGAAAAATATGAGCACACAAATTAGATACAGTAAGATTATCAGCTCTACCAAATCCAACGCATGGATGCACCAATAACAATAACCGGTCAAAATTAACAGAAATTAAATCCAAACAACCACATACCAGGTCAAAAATTAGAATTAAGATAACAGATGGTAAAAAGAAAAACCTAGATTCGTCACCCAAAAGTTCATCAATCAACACGGCAGGGAAAGTAACAAACACTGGATGTAATTAAAAATTAGCAGAACCTGAATTAAACAACAAAAAAAAATGATTTGAAGGAGAGAGAAAACGGGGACTTGCCTGAGTGCGGTGGCCAGAAAAACAACGACTGAATTAATAATAAAAAAAAAAGGTAAAATTCAATCAAACGATGAACAGATTAAGCGAAATGAAATGAGCAGAACAAGGTTGAATTTTTTTTTCCGGCGAGTATTATGCGGAGTTTTCGTTATGAGCTGATGAATTGGGCCTATAATCTAAAGTACTGGATTACCGGGTCGAAATAGCCCATTAGCCCGAAAATCTAAGTACCGGAATAAAACGTCGTTTACTAATGCGACTATTTGATCTTATAAGGTTAAAAAAGCGTTTCAAAAACTATCACAGAGAAAGTGAACTTAAGAGTGTGTTTGGCTTAGCTTATAAGCGGTTAAAAAGAGCTTATACGATTTTTAAGAGCTTATAATTCTTCTAAAGTGTTTGGTGTAATAAATAATTATAAAAATAAGATGTAACGACTTAGGTGGTGTTTGCAAAAACTTTTACAAAATAGATTATGAGTTTTCTTTGCTCATAATCTGTTTTTAAGTGTTTACAAAAATAAACTTTTGCTTTCGCTTCTCTTAAAATAAGCAACTTTAAGTTATAATTTGTTAAGCACTCGTGACCCTACTTTTTCTATTTAAGTTGATTTTCCAGTAAATTTGCAAACACCCTCAACTTTAGAAATAAGCACTTAAAATCAACTTAACTCGCAATCCATAACTTCTGCTTTTAAATAAGTTTTTGCAAACACCACCTTATTAATTTTTAAAATAGTTTATCAAATGTAATAGCTTATCAACTGTTTAAAATAAATTTATCCAAACGGGACCTAAATCTGCACTTTATGTGGGCTATTTCATATTAGTTTATTAAGAGAATAAAGCTATAATATTTGCATTAAAGAGAAAAAAAATAATTGGATTTGTATTTTGTACAGCTTAAAAGTTGAAAATTAATAGATATAATAAACTTGAAAAACAATTGATACAAAGGAATTAGAATATCTCTAGTTTCTTTAGACCAAATAAATAATAAACTTGTTAATAAAGAGATTTGATTTGTCTCCTACTTTGTCTTAGCCCCTAAGGCTTTTCAATTTCCATTTTTATCTAAGTAGGTGAACTCTTACTATCCACACAAGCAACAAAAACTTACAGCCCAAGCACCCATTGTAAAATCCGTAAAATACGCACGTGTGCGTAAAATAATCGAGTCGAGTTGAACGCGTGAAATATTGTTCAAATTCGTTTTTTTTTATCGAATGTCTAAAATTGCGCCTACAATTTGATTTTGATTAGCAGTCGGACCGAGCTTTTAATCAGAGATCACCACGAATCACGTTCGAGTACTTTGATTTTTCTTTCGTACGATTTTTATTAAACCGAGCTCAAATAAGCTCTAAAAATCGAACTCAAATACCAGATGTAAAGGAAGTGCAACAGTAGTTAGCAGAATCTATCAAAATACCTACTTATGAAAATAGTATCTTTACCAGAATAAACACATAAGTATATTTTTTTAATTTTATTTGTAATTTTATAATTGAATTCACATAGTATAATTTTCAAATTAATTGACTGAAGTAATTATTACTGCATTAGACAAAACAGTCATTAACAAAATAAAGATGTCTTCACATCTATAAAAGCTAGCAAACAGGGAAAAGAGAAACATCATTCGAATCACAAAAAAAAAGGAATAAATAAATAAAGCAAAAGAAGAGAGAAAGAAATATTACAAGTTACAAAAATATCCGGTCCATTTCATTTGAAGCAAATGACAACAGAGAAGAATCAAACATCGATGATCAATCACATCGGCAGCCCTTTGATGAACGAAGAAACGAGAGACGACGAAATGACGAAAATGACCTTGGCTGCGTTTCGTGCCAAGGAAGAAGATATCGAGAAGAAGAAAGCTGAGGTCCGAGAGAAAGTCCATTCGCAATTAGGCCGCGTTGAGGAAGAAACGAAGCGCCTATCTGAAATTCGTGAAGTGAGCGATGTGAATTACATTTCTTCGTATTAAATTTTCTTTTTTGTTACGTATAGTTAAATTGTAATTAATCTTGTAGGAGCTCGAAGCGATGAATGATCCGATGAGGAAAGAAGTTGCGATCGTTCGCAAGAAAATCGACCTACTTAATCGGGACTTAAAGCCGTTGGGACTTAGCTGCCACAAGAAGGTTCATTATCATTTATCACAATAATTTGTTACCAAGTTATATTACATATATTTTTTAATCTATTTATTTATTTTATTTTTTATTTTATTTAATTTGACAGGAAAAAGAATACAAGGAGGCACTGGAGAGTTTCAATGAGAAGAACAAGGAAAAAGGGCAGCTAATATCCAAACTAGTTGAGGTAAATATATAAACTCAATTTTTTTTATGAACGCCAGCAGTGGCGAAGCCGGGATTTTATGTTCGGGGGCCGAATGCATTTTTTTTTAGAGAAGGCCGTTAATGCTACTATACTAGACACATAAAAGAATTAGATGTCTATATAAAATAAAAAGGATTTGAGAAGTGTTTGGGGGGCCATGCCCCCCCCCCCTCCCCTAGCCCTGTACCGACTCCGCCACTGATCACCAGAAAATTTGCGAATTGTACTAACTTTTTTTTTTCTCAATACAATTTATTTACAGTTGGTGACTGAAAGTGAGAAACTGAGATTGAAGAAACTTGAGGAACTTTGCAAGAACATTGATTCTCTGCGCTAAGAATTACTGTAATTATACAACCTTTTGAAGAATTTACAGCTGTTTTCTTTTTTTTTTTTGTGTGTCTAATTTTTGGTTTGAGTGTGAAGGTATACAATACCACTTACAGTAAGATTCTTAAAATTTGGCTTCCTGCATGTAATACTGATGTTTTAATTATTATTATTTAAAAAAAAAAAAAACAGAAATGTAATGGTGACACTACAAGAAATTTTGGTTTTAGTGACGATTTTGTATGGTCGCTAAAAGTTAGAAAATGGTAGCTAAAACTTATAGCGACCAAATTAAGGTTGGTCACCGGTGGTCACAACAGGGTAGTTACTAAAAGTACTCAGTGACAAGAAAATTAATTGGACGCTGAAAGATGAGATTTAGTGGCGAACTAATAGTGGTCACTAAAAATATAATTATTAACGACCAGTTTTTGACTCGCTAATGTAAATTTTATGGTGGCAATAATATTAACATGGTTGCTATAGCAACATATATAGTGGCCATATAATTTTGGTCGCTAAATGATATATACGTATAGTGACCATATTTTATTGTTGCTATAGGATATATATTTGGCCACCACATTTTTTGGTTGCAACATAATACACATATAGTGACGGTATATATTGGTTGATAAATAATATATCTGTTGGTTGCTAAAATATATACATAGAGTGACCATATTATCGATTGCAATAGTTTTTACACGATCGCGGCAATTATTAAATTTACCGACCAATTCAGACCAATAATTAATTGGTTGCATTAATCATTAATGTTTATTTGCAACAGTGGCTGTAAAAAAAATTAAAATAAAACTAAAGCTTGCAAATTTACACATTATCAATCAAATATGAATATTACATTTCAATCTATCATACTACATACAATAATAAATCAATCATTTCAAATAATAAGAAAGATTACTATAATTATTTCATAATAAATTCCACTTCATAAATTGTTAAGCGACAACAAATATGACTTCCACGATAACGTTCTTTCACTTCATCCAACCTGAAAAGGGGAAAAAAATCAATTAGAAAATAAGAAATCATATGATAGAATCAATTCCAATCATTTGTCACTTAGTAGCACTCAAAAGTCAATAATTTATCTGCGCTCAAAATTTAAAAAATAATAGTGAAGAAATAGAGATTCTCACCTGAAGTCCAATGCAAGTGCTATAAAAACACCTTACTTTGGAGTCATACTCAAGTCTTTAATGAGAGCATAAATATACTCAACACCTATCAAATATTAGTATTAAACAAGTTATCGAATGTTAACATAATCGTTTACTATTCGGTTCTATTTCATATAAACATCCTAATTTAAATCTTATGCCATAACTGACAATCGAACATAATACACAATTTCTATGGCGTTCCATTTACCAAATACAACACACTCCAGGCATCAATTCACATGGTACGGAGTTCACTCGTGTTTGTTTGACGAGTTCTCGAAACAAAGGTTTAAAACATTTGTTTCCACAATTTCTTTGAAAAATCATAACAATTGGTACGATTATCCAAATTGGGAACGTAATATGCCAAATGAAAGCTAACAACTGCATCTACATGTTCACTGAAGACTCTGATCACAAATTATGATCCCAGCATATGCAAAACAGGCCCAAAAGATGATTACAGAAAACTGCCAGAATTTCGGATAAATTCTCTTTTCTGGTACAGTTTATTGTAAAATTCATAAGTATTTGCAAAGTTATCCAAATTGGCCAAACAATATACCAAATCAAAGCTGACAACTTCATCTAAAAGTTTACTTAAGAAATATATCCCAAATTATTATCCTAAGACGGTAATAAAACCCAACGAAGATGATTCATCAAAACTGCCCTGTTTTTGGCAGACTCACTGCCGTCAAATTCTCATCTCTAAAAGGCTATAAAACTTGCTCAAATTAGAAGCAATTTAACACTTACATATAATTATCACGGTCCTCGACGACTTTTGTGAAGAGACTGATTCGAAAATCTCACTCCAAACCCTTCGATTTCGGCTCCGAAAACAGGTGCGGCAGAAGGTTTACTATTTCTCAGAATTTCGCCAACATAGCTGTCGGGTTAAATTTGGTTATATAAATTGAAGAAATAACTAACAAAGTCTTTCTCAAATAACAAAGTCTTCTCACCTCGAGTTAGCACCAAAAGCAACATCATAGACCAAAATTTTCTTAGGTACACAACCACGAATGACACACCTGAAATAAGAATCCATTAGTTTCTTAAGCTTCACCTTCGATCACATTACTTTAAACTTCTTGCTTAATATGCATAAAACAAATTTCAAATAACTAATGACTCAAATAACTAATGACTCAAATAACTAATGACACAGATAGATGCTAACTATGGACATTAAACTAGAAACCAACGTTATTTGTTGTCACATTTTCTTCCAAAAATCGTAGCAGGCCGTACACTTATCCAAATTGGGAAAACAATATACCAAATAAAAGTTCACAACTTTATCTACAATTGTGATGAAGATACCAACTCCCAATTACTAAGATAACACATCAATAACAGCACGAAAAGTTGAATACAGAAAACTGCCAGAAATTTTTTGGACAAACTTGTAACTGTCACAGTTTATTTGAAAAATCATAACAATTTGTAGAGTTATCCAAATCGACCAAATAATATACCAAATCAAACCTCACAAGTCAATATACAAAACATCAGAAGACACATAGCCTAAATTATAACTCCAACATAACAAAAATAGCTCCGTATGATGATTAGGCAAACTGCCCTGTTTTTTGACAGATTCGCTGTCGTCTTATTCCGACCCCTAAAAGGCTATAACACGTGCTCGAATTGGAAACAATTAAACACCGACTCACAGTTTTCGAGGTCCTCTACGAGTTTCGAGAAGGAATGATTCCCAAATTCACACTCCAAACCCTTCGATTTTGTCTCCGAAAACAGATGCGGTAGCAATTTTTATTTCCCTTTCCGGCGAGCAGGCTGAATTTCACACCAAATTTCGGCGTGCAAATTTTTGTTAATTTTTGAAGATAATAAGCCATGATAAGTAGTGTTTTGCCCAATAGAACTTTTGACAAACACCTGGCGTGCACAATTACATCATAAGAAGAAAAGAAAAAAGGAAAAGGGAAAAGGGAGGTGGGAATTGGGTTGGAGTTCGGAGAAGAGGGTTTGTTGTTAGTCATACCGTAACCTCCGCGATCGTTGAGCTTAGCCTGAATGATCATGGTTGAGATGAAGCGGGTGGCCTCATTCGCCTCCTCGAGATGGCGGCTGAGATCGGCAGGGGAGGTCATGTGACGGTTCTCCTCGAATTTCTTCTGGGCTTCGGTGGCGGACTCCCGGAGCATAATGGTGTCGCCGGCAAAAGTCTGTATGCCCTGATTGCTTCGATCCCCATTCTCCCTCAGCACCACGTTGTTAGCAATTTTCTTGTAATCAAATCCCTAATTCTTTTCAAATCCCTAATTCTTTTCCAGTAATCAAATCGTCAAATTGGGTGAAATAGGCGAATACTTTTGGGGAAAACAAAAGAGGTAAGATAAGAGGGATTTTGGTGCAAACATAATGAAGAAATTAAGAGATAATTTTTTCTTGATTTTCTGTAATATTATGAGAGAATTGGTAGAGAGAGAAAGAGAGCGGAGAGAGTGAACAGAATGTTTTGTGATGAAGAAACGAAAGAAAGATATGGCTGTATTTTTTCATTATTTGCATTTTCGCCCCCCATCTTTCTTTTATTTTTTTTTTCTTTTCTTGATTTCTTTAAAAACTAAACTAATGACCAAATCGATTTGATTTCCGTAAGTAGTTTCATAGTAACAAAATTCAGGTGGTTGCTAGCAACCCAATTAAATGGTTGTTAATAATTAAATTAAAGACTCGTAGCAACCGTAAAAAAAATTGATGTTAAATTGGTCACTATTGAAACTAAGTTATAGTGACCATAAAAATTGTCGCTACAAACTTTAACTTTAGTTGCTACAAGATGTCTAACTATTAGTGATCACTTATAGCTACCAAATGTTCGCTGGTCGCAACAAGATTTAACCCTTCCCACTTTTGCTACAAAATTATTTTTGGTCACTAAATGTAAACATTCAGTGACCATTTAGTGATGGTCGCTGAGAATTTGGTCACTGAAACTAGTTTTTCTTGTAGTGTGATTTTATTACAGAATGAGAAATACCATATTGACAGTTATTTTTATATTTAGTGGTTTTTTTGATATATAAATAGATGAAAATTGACTATTAGTTTCTATGATTGATCCGGGCCTGATAATAATAAAGGGAAGAAAAAAGAGAAAGCAAAAGCCCATCACTGTTTAGTTTACTACCCATTATCAAGCCCATTAACTCTGAGTTCTGAGTTCAATTTCCGAGTCACGAGTTCATTTAAAACATAAAATGAAAATATTGTTTGCCACCTAAACGTGTCCTTTCATTTTATTTTTTAATCTCAGTTCCTTAAATAAGTGATACAATATCAAGGATTGAGTTGAGTGTTTTATTTATTTATTATTTTATATATTAAATGACTATAAAATTGATATTTTACCTAACGGACAAATTGAATATATAGATATAATTTTCCAGAATTATGAAGCAAGAATCGTATTGTCAATTCAAATCCAATTTATGAATTATGAAGGATTAATAATGACTGGACATGTGGTCTGAAAAATCACCAATAACTTCCAATTAGCACAAAACAAATTAAAGAGAATAAAAGCATAATTAATATTATTAATTGGTGCACTGCATTCATATATCATAGGAAAATAATGCTGTCTTATTATTGACGTAAGCATGACGAGACCAACTACATGCGTAGTAGTGGCATCACATGCGACTAGAATAGTAGAAGCAGCTCCATTTTTTTTAAATCACTTTTACATATATATATATATATATATACAAAGTTGTTTTTAAGATAATCGACTCTGATTTAATATAGTGGGGCATATATAATAGATGAATAATTGAAATAAGTGTTAGGTATGTGTAATGAGATGCGTTACTATTAATATTGTCGACCACAAACTTGTGTTTGTCGCAATGATTCAGCTTCCCTTTCATTGCTAATTTGCACCTTTAATTACTTTTATCATTCAGCAGATCAAGCTATTGTTATTTGTACTGTGAGAAAATTTTGGAAAATGTTGACTGCATTTACCTCTGTTTTTGCAGACATAGATATATAGATATATACACAAATTATTCAGAGTTTCCACGTTATTGTGCACGAGGGCTTGGCTTTTTCTGTCGGCAAATAACCTATTGTGTTAAGAGTAAAAATTCATGGTAAAAATGATAAATAATGAATGCATGATAATGGCATCAATTCTAATATTGTTTCCATAATAGGCATTTCAGTTGTAAGAGAATATACTAAAATAAATAGAGTTTAAGAAAAAAAAAACAACAAGTAGTTACTAGGACTAGAATTGTGATACATTAATCATTAATGAATTGAATATTATTATTATTTTTACTAACAGATAAGTTATGAACTGCTAAACTCTAGCGATTGGAGAAGCTCAGCTTTCTGTTACGGCTCAGTTTCCTATGTAATTAACGTGTCTCGTCAAGAAAACAATCGGGAGTGCAGGCATCAACAGTTTAGCACAAAGCACAACACAAAGCCCAGAAAACTCGGAACCCTAGATCGGAGCATGCAAGATCACTTAGATCTCGACCAACTCTTGTACCTAATATCCACAACCTCACATAATATAAACTCTCGTGTTTTCCACACCTAGAAGTCGATCTCGCTCGCTCACGGAAGAACAAAGATCTTGAATCTAGGTTAAGATTGTGTGTTAGTAATAATATACATAAGTGGCAGGCAAGTGACGTTACATCATCAACAAATCGTTCATGTACCATAGTACAATTCACATGCACATTGACATGCAAAATTGGCTTAGGGATTCTGAGATTTCTTACCCGAAAAAACCGGGTATTAAATCTCATTTCACATATTACACTACATTTATTTTGTATGTACTTACTTTAATTTGAACTTTGAAGTAGAAAATTCAAAATTAAAGCCATCTTTTTTATTTAAAAAGAAAAAAAATAAATTAAAAACAGGGGCTAGTGGGAGTTGGTCCCATAACTGTTTTTACAAATATTGCATTTCAGATATTGTCTTGTAAAGAAGAGACTGTGCTTCATGGTACAATCACACTTGTGACTACTTCCTGTCTGTATATCTATATCTATATCTATATCTATATCAATGTGTGTGTGTGGGGTGAGTGTGTATATATATATATATATTAGATGGTTATTGTGAATTAACCTCACAAACAATATTAGTTGAGAATACATTTACATTATACAAAAAGAAAAAAAAATGGCTACAGAATTCAAGCATTTGGTGCTGGTGAAGTTCAAAAACGACGTCGTAGTGGGAGATGTTATGAAAGGATTGGAAAAGCTTGTGTTGGAAATGGACACTGTCAAATCCTTCGTTTGGTAATTAGTCTTATTATATATATATAATATTGTAACAATATAATGTTTTTTTTAATTAATTAATTAATTAATAAAAAAAAAACAGGGGGGAGGATATTGAAAGCCATGAAATGCTGAGGCAAGGATTCACGCACGCTTTCTTGATGACTTTTGGAAGCAAGGAAGATTTCACTGCATTCACAAGCCACCCTACTCACGTTGACTTTTCGTCAACGTTTTCAACTGCTGTTGACAAAGCTGTCCTTCTTGATTTCCCGTCTGTTACCGTCAAACCTCCTCCTGCTGCTGCCTGATTTTGGACAAACACATGTTTTTTTTTTTAATTTTAATTATAATATAATTAATTAATAAATAAATAATGGGTTTATGTCTAAAAGTGTGTGTTATTGTGCGTGTTTTGTGTGCAGTTCTTTGCATCACTGTTTCTTTGTAATCTGATTTGATTTTGGTTGCTATAAGAGGGGTTCCCATGGATTTGTTGGAACTTGGAATTAAGCGACTGTCTTTTACTAATTAATAATTTTTTTTTTTGTATGAATTTATTTAATCAAGCTAGGGTGGTGAGCGTGGGCTTAATTTGAAAAGACTGGATTTTTTGCTCTGCTTTTCGTCCTGGAAAACTGTGGTAAATTGGTAATAAATCCAGCGAGCATGCAATAATTATTTATTTATTTATTTATTTATTTTCTAAGATCGATCTACTTTTTTATTTCTCTCTTTCTAAAAAGGTGGATTCGTTTAAAGATTAAAGTAGAGGGATCATAAGTCACAACTACCCTTTTTCATGGTTTAAAGAACCAATGAATAAGTCCGCATCAAGCTTGTTCACTGCAGTATACACATTTCATATGGTTTTCGTATTATTTTACGAGTAGAGAGTTTATCAAATACATATGCGGTTGTGTGGTGGATTATTTTGTCAAAGAAGAAGGGCAAATTACGGTAGCCCTGAGGTATGGTTAATTTACGAAAAAACCCTATTTTTTGGTTAATTACAACTTATCACTTAGCTTTGAATATTCTTACACGTTCATTCTTATGGTGTCAAATTCAACATCATCTTCTAGATTATATATGTGAAATGTTCTCTAGTTTGTATTCATTTAATTTTGTGCAGAAATGCATTTTCAGATGCATCATAATCTGATGTTTGCAAGCCAAAAGACACATCTTATGATCATCTTGTTTCAAAACGTCGAGCTCGAACGGAATAAAACGAGTACAAACTTGAGAATATTTCACATAATATAAAAGATTTCACTAAGGGTGAATCTCTAAAAAAATTTATAATTGAGATGATGATTGTGATAGGGTAATTCGTAATTTGACCTTAATCGTAATTAAAAAAGAAAAAAAGAATAAAAGAATAAAGTAGCAGCAGAAAGTGGAGTAGATATTCATATTATTACTCCACATTTATATTCTCTTTCATCTCATTTCAATTCCCTCAAATACTTAATTCCTTCACTTTTAATATCAAAAAATCAAAAAAATGCAGAGATTGAAGAAACTCAATAATCTGATCCACATAGTTTTCCTTGTGATGAAGATGTTCTTCATGTATCCATCTTCAGCATCAGAAGAAACCCATGCTGCAGTAAGCTATTCATGTGGGGGCATAATAGTAAAACCACCATTCCTTCATAATAATAAAGAAAACTCTTCCCAACTCTTGAGCCAAATGCTCATCTGCAAATCCGGCAAGCTCTATTTCAGGACAACTGTCGGTGGTCTTCTCCGAGTTTCTTCCATTGACTACACCCACAAACACCTCACCATTTCTCACACTTCTTCTTCTTTTTCTAATAATAAAAGTAATTATAATAATAATATTAATGTGAGAGGATTGATTGAGCAGCAGTTGGGTACGAGGATTTCATTTGATATTCCAGATCACGTGCCTAATCCTTGCAACGAGTGTGAGAAGCCGTATGGTAACTGTGGGGCTGGATTGAGATGCGTTTGCCATCCTAAACAATGCAGTGCGTCTCTCTCTCTCTCTCTCTCTCTCTCTCTCTCTCTTGATATATTATGGTAATTAATAATTGGGTTTGAATTTGCAGGGGATAAGGTGATTTCAGGTGGAGCAGTTGTGAAGCCATGTTGTGATATGTTACTGGTTTTGTTCATCGTGTTGGGGTTCTTTCGGGGATTTTAAGGTTGTAATTAAACTCAAAAAAGAAAAAGAAAAAATTCAACATGACACTGTTTCTTGCTCTAGTTTTATTTGTATTTTTATTTTTTCTAGATATTTATCGAGTTTTGGTATATGATGATGCTTAGAAAATATACGAAAATATTGAAGATCCCATGGTTTTATGTTATGTGATTAGGGGTGAAAAATTGGAACTGAAATTCTGATTTCGGCCCTGTCCGATCTTTTCCGATTTTAGAAAAAAATAAAATTAATCAGAATTCCAGAAATTCCAATTCCATTTTTTTCTGAATTATTTTTCGGATCAGACTATATATGAGATTTTGATTTCTGGTCGGATTTTATTTTATGAAAGTACATTTTATATGTTAGGTTACAACAAATTTGGAATTTTTTGAATTTCGCCTATCCCGATACCAAAACTTCTGATTTTGGAGCGATTTTTTTTCATTCCAATTTATGAAAATTCTATTTTCAAATTTTCCGATATTTTGAAAGGAATTGAAATTGGATTTTCACTTCTGGAATGAAAAGAAAAAATCAATTCTTTTCGTTTAAGTACTAATCTTAATCCGATATGTTCGATTTTCTCCCAATATGTGATAATTAGATATGGGGAAACAATTGCTGAATTCTCTGATAGTGTATGGTTCATCATCATGAAAGGCAAGAAAAAAAATTCAATCTTTGAATATTTTAAAAGATTGCAATAATAATCTAGCTATCTGCTTTTAACCATCCATTTTTTTGTCATTTAAAAAAATAAATAAATTATTCTTCTCAATTTAATTACTTGGACAAAATGCACTTCACCCTCTATAAATTTCTCATTTTTGCCTTTCCCCTGTAAAAACTCAAAAACTGAATAATCCCCCTTCAAAATATTATTTGGTTACACTTTGCTCCATAAGTCAATTTTTGGTGGGCATTGACCATTGCGCAACAAAAATAACATTTTAAATGGGCAATGTGCAAAAAAAATAATGTTTTAAAGGGGTAACGTGCAAAAAAAAAACATATAAAGGGGCTACGTGCAACAAAAATACTCAATTACGATGAATAATCCATCGAAATTTTGACATGGGGGCAATGTGCAACAAAAATAATATTTTGAAGGGGAACATTCACTTTTTAAAAAATTGAGGGGGTAAAGTGCAAAATTAGAAATTGTTAGGGGGTGATGTGCAATTTTCGTTAATTAATTTAACAGTACTCATTGAAGAACAGAACCAGTACTAGCAACATTAACTAATAAAAACACACACACACACACACTCATATATATTAGATTCTCGCAGACAACATATATCTGATATATAAATAATACTAATTAATGATAGACAAATTTAATTTCTTCAGAAACTTCACTAGTGTGAATGGAATATTCTGCGCATTCATTTTGCACAGTCTTCTTCTTCACCTCAGCAACTGCTCCCAATTCAATGTCTTCTTCGGCCTCCAATTTATTTTCATTGTCGTCTGCTTTATTTTCCCTGGATATTATTTGAATTTGAAAAGCAACAAATAAAGCAATTTTCATGACAAGTGTTGTGCAGAGGAAAAAGTATAGAGACAACATGGCTGTATGTATAATGTATGTATGTATAAAATGTGAAATATATTCAGCCTCGTTTTTTCCAAAAAAATATTTGAGGATGTCTCTGCATTTAATTTGATTTTGACCAATGGAAACACGATTTATGTAATCTGATTTTCATTTTATGCAACCAGATTTTGTCCGTCAACTTGTATTTACACATATGGAGGCAGTGGTAAAATAGTAATTTTGTAAAGAGTATGTATAGATTAAGAAGATAATCTCTTATTTATCAAAGAAATCTGTGGATAATTTCCAGCAAATTTATCCCTTCTGTCAAAGCCATCTGCTATGAATTCCTTAAATATGTGGATAATTTTTTTTTATCTGTAGATAATATTTTTTTTTAATTACTTAAAATATGTATTATCGGATTTTATGTTTCTAACAAAATTAAATGAGTTAATAAATTATGGCAGTGGTCGGAAAATTTTGATGAGAAGATTAATTTTGATGCGACGGCGATAAATCCACTGGATGTCATAAGGAATTGGGGTCCTAGCTAGGTCGCATACGGGTGAATGTGTAGGATAGAGATCTATGTGTCTACGACGTTATTTGGAGCCAACGGCAACAGACTCAATGGTTGCTTGGTACACGATTGAGAAGAAGAGTATTAAACGAGGGGAATGTTAGTATTATATATATATTATCACATCTATCTCAAGAGTTCGAGAAAATAAATCAAGCTATGGTAATATTTTGGCCGGTACACACGTGCATCGACATGAGAGTTTGAGTTTTTCTCATCAAGTAGCCATATTAAACGACAAGGAAACCAAGTAGCGTGCGTAAAGTTGCTAGCTCGTCTCTCTTTCAAGGGTCCGTTTTAGTTCAACACATTTACCTTTATCCATTCAAAACATTGTGTTCAACACTAGTTATATATAACTAGTGCGTAAAGTTGCTAGCTCGTCTCTCTTTCAAGGGTCCGTTTTAGTTCAACACATTTACCTTTATCCATTCAAAACATTGAGGTATGGCTAAATTACGAAAAACCCTTCTTAGTTGGGTAATTACAGCCACCCCTCCTTTGAAATATTTTTACATAAAATTCGGTTATTTACATAAAATGTTGTCGTACCGAAAATTTGGTTTGGTTTTACGGATTTAACATCCTTAAATTTAACTCTGGAGGGATATTTTCGTAAGATAATACATAGTTGGAGGAGGTGGCTATAATTACCTAAACAAGAGGGGAGTTTTCGTAATCTGATCCCACAACTCGGTGGGTGACCGTAATTTGCCCTTGATTCAATTACTAGAAGTTCTTGTATTGATTTTGAAAAAAATTAAACTAAAATACAAAACACTGTTATCTGCTACGAATTTATCACATGTCCTTACAGGGAGGCGTAGATCATCAAAGAGAAGTCAACTCCACAATCTTGACCCTTGTACGACGTCGTTTTATCGTCCTCCTCCAGCCGCCACAAACTGCTGTCGGAACCAGTACTCCTCCTTGTCCTGAACATAAACACACCAGCATTTCCATTACCATTACCATTACCATTACCATTATCATTACCATTACGCTTACGAAAGAACCAAGCATGAAGATCCCACATAAGATCAAGAAGCAAACCATCCAAGAAAATCGTCTGATTCCCTCTGAAATTCCATTTCAGCCTCTTCACATTCACCACCATCTTCTTATCGATACACACACTCAGAACCCAGTTACCCACATTCTTCTTCACCACCCCTCCTCCTTCCTCCTCCCCGCTGCACCGAATCGAAACGTCGTGGGCCCGGCCCGAATCGCCGAACCGGGTCTTCGTCGAGTAATGTGCCGTCCCGCCAGAAAAGTGCTCCCGACGGGAAACCAGCGAGAATTTTGTTCCGGGTTTCGAAATGGGTTGTCGTCGGGTCAAGTCTCCGAGGACCAAACCCGGTTCGGAATCGATGGTGATAAGGATGTAGTAACCGGAAACGGGTTCGGGTCCGGTTTGGTAGCGGGCGGAGGAGAGATCCCAAGAGATATCGATCTTGGTGGTGAGGCAATATTGGATGGATTTGGTGCCTTTTAGCTTTTTGAATAAGCGTGGATTCGTGTTGAGTTTGAAGGTGGTTATTTCTTCTTCTTCTTCTTTACCGAAAATTATGGTGAGGGATTGATCAGAAGAAGGTGTGTTCTTGGCCCAGGTGATGGTGATCATGGGTATTTGTTTCTGAGTGGAGACAAGGGTTTTGTAATAACACGTGACGGAATTTAGAATTGAAGGGGTGGAGGAATCTGGAGAATTAATAATGTTGATGCATGATTTGTCTGAAACTACCCCTACTGCATATTCACTTACACATGATCTAATATCTCTCATTTTTCTTCTCTCTCTATCTCTGCGTGTGTTTGTGTGTTTGTGTGTGAGAGAGAGAGAGAGAGGAGAGAAAGAAGGGGAATTGAGACTTAATTTTGTTTTGTTGGCAGTTGACATAAATATAAGAGAGTTGGAGAGAAGTGTGCTGCAAAATAAACGACGACAATGGCAGTTCACAGTTGTTTTGCTTTACTTTGATATTTATCTTATCTATAAATAATTTTGCATATTTGAATAAATGATGTTGATTTTTTTTTCAAGTATGACTAAATGTACAAGTCCGTTGCCAAAACAAGTATCAGAAAATTGAAACTTCCGAAATTCAAAAATGAAAAAAATACTATTCTTGAAATAGGAAATTATATTCTCATTCCAATCGACGGAATTCGAAAATCACATCTCAATTTCCATCCCCTTTTTTTTTTTTTTTTTTTTTTTTTTTTTTTTGAACATCTGAATTGGTGTTTTCACCTTATGTAACATCTACAAAATTCTACTGGACTAACGGACAATTAATTTTTGAATTAACTATTAGATCGATCGTTTCTTTCTATTAGTGACAATTGACAAATATTGATTACTCGTATTAAACAACACGAGAAGATTACAATATTTTTTCTTTAATCAAATAACCACCGGGTTGATTCAATTCAACCCATTTAAAAAAAAAATTGATTTTTTTTTTCTTTTATCGTAGCCAAATAAATTTGACCATGCTCATAGTCTTAATAATACTGATTCAAATGCATTACTATTTCTTAGTACAAAGCCATCACACACACACCATAGTTTTGGTGGGAGAATTATTTTGGCAAGGTAAAGTCGTGTTTCGCCGTGTTGAATGGTGCCGTAGAAATAGCACTTTTAGTTAGTAGTGGTAAGAAGTATGAATAATATGAAGAAAATAATTAGTATATGATAGTGGGAATTTCGTCACACACGATTGAATGAAACCCCAATCTGCTGACCAACTTCTATTGACCAGTCAAAGCTGAGGACCAACACATTATTGTTTTTTCCAGTTTAATTTTGTGTATCTTTTCATAAATATGTACTCATGCATATTTATTGTACTTCCTCTTTATTGCAACAGCCATTAATTAAGAGTAACAAATTGATGCTTATTATTTATTTCTTTTTACTACAAGATTATTAAATGCCTAAGCATTTTACGTTACACGATGTACAATCGTTATTTCCCCCTTTTACTATTCATTAAGAAGTGGAAAATTTTAAAACTACATCTTTATTCGCTTAATCGAAAGTAAAATTAAGGGGTCATGTGCAAAAAAACAAACCACAAGGGCTTAAGTGCAATTTATCATAAACAAAAACAAGATATACACGCGGTCTAAAATCTCGCTTCACAAAAAAAATCTCTTTAAATTACGATTCTCACATATCCTCAAGTGTTATACATACATGTTACTTTCTTCATCTAAAAATATAAATACGCGGATTACTTTATTTTTTTACAGTAAACTATACTAATTTTTTTTCCTAAACTATACTTGTTATATTACATCGAGTGTTGAGTTTTTTCGATTAACTTTCGGCTCAATGAACTTGCAAACTACATCTCAATCATTCTAAATAAAATGAGATGTTTCAAATATTTTTAAAGTAATATATATTTATTTTCAAGTTAATAATTGTAAAAATGAGGAAAAAATAATTGATGTGTATTGAGCTGAATCCGGATATCATCGGAAGCAGCGGAGCCCAGGTGGTAAGGTCAGTGTTTCCGAATTATTTACCAACGGCCCAACAACTTTATTTATATTTGTCGCATCCATTATTATTAGTATTAGTATTAGTATTATTATTATTATTATTATTATTATTATTATTATTATTATTGTTATTATTAATAATATTTTATTCTTATTATTATTATTTTAAACAATGATTGTGCTGATCTGTTGGGAGTCAATGTTGGTCAGAGTTTAATGCTTGTCATTCTCCAAATATTTGTAATATAGTTGTAGAAATATATTCTTGAATTGTGACACGATAATAATTAGGGGCTAGTTCAATGTATTTGGTGAACAATTATTTATATCTTCTAAAGATGAATTATTTCAATGAAATTATAAAATACAACAATTAATTATGCCGAATTGGTGTAGATAAATGTTTTTATTAGATGAAATGTAAAATAATATTTTTTTATGATAAATGAGCGGATAATATTACTTTTTCACTGGCCCATTTTCCTTAAAAAAAAAAAACCCGATTTACGATGAATCGCATTTTATTCAAACTAAAATCGTATTATGAGTTTATTCCAGTTGTAGTTCATAAAAAAAGGCATTAAAATAATTTACCTAAAAGTTGTACTCCTTTTATTTTAAATTATAAGTTCTTACTTCTTATATATAGATACTAAACTTGTAATGTACACACATTTGATTTAATTATTTATTTCAATTTTTTTAATATTGAAATTTATACATATAGTATTGTAAATTTAATATGGAATGAATTTATTTATTGATAAAACTGGAAAGGCCGTTGCTTTCTGCGGCCCAGTAAAAATTGCTTCTACCCGCTTTTTTCTGTGGGCTTGGGTACTGTGAGCCCATCATGAATCTGATCGTCATTACACGTGTCAAGTTGCCATTCGTTCATAATGCCACAGAGGTGCTAATAAAACTCATTTTGTTTTTTTTTAATTATTAAAAATATATAAAATAAGAAAATAAATAATGAACTGCAATTAATAAATATTTTTTAATTTTATATTATTATATATTATTTAAATAAAAAAAAAAAAAGGAAGGCCCGACCGGCGGCTCATTAGTTCACGAATAACTAAAAAAAAACTCAAGCCTGAAAAGCTCGAGTTCAAATTCCAGTTTTTTTCGAGTCGTCTCATCAAGCTCACGAGTCGTCTCAGCTGGTTAAGCTACCTTAGTTATAATGGTGACGATGGGAAGTCCACCCAACCATTTTTGTTTGTGTCATTTTCATTTATTTGCATCCCTACAATTTTAGGGCAGCTGTCTTTTTCATTTAATTTGGGAAATATCTTATATGTTATAGATTTTGAAGAAAGTTATATAAACCGCAGATGTTATTTTTGTTAGCGAACTCTTTGTCACATACTAATAAGAAATTAAAGTGGACAGATTCAAATATACATCAATACTGCCTTCTGAAATAAATGATGTGCAAAATTTAGATTATGAAATAATTAATGTCGACAAATACATGATTTATAGATGCTACATCCAGTTAAATATGAATATGGTATCGTATAACTTTAGATTTGCAAACAATTACCCACGTATATATGTGGAGTGTACGTAGATTGTGTCTTCGATGTATACAGGTGCACGTATGAGTAAGTACTACTTGTAGAGTTAAATTGAGTGCAACATATAATTAATTATAAACCACATAAATGCAATATTAATTTGAAATTAGCTCAAATTCCAAACAATAGTATTAATGCAAATATATTTCAAATGGAGAAAGTATATATGTTGTAAAGCACACAAATATAGGCAGTGCCTAACCTACGTAAGCACACGCATCTAAAGCATGCCTAACGACTTCCAATTTTGTAATATTACTTGCCTAATACAATATTCTTATGTATAATTAATTCTAATGACGATGGTTGGTTATGTTTTAATTTAATTCTTTCTTTTAAATGAATTTGTGTTTATTAAGAGTTTCTGAAAACAAATTATAAAGTTTCTTTTTCTTTTAGACATAATTTGGCTGCCATTGTAAAAAATAAAATTCACTGCTACGGTAAAAAGTGTTTGTATTAAACAAAATTACTTTATTTTTTGGATTTTTGGCACTTTGCACCCTTGAATTACACCCTTTTGGCACTTTGCACCCTTAAATTACAAAATTGGCAGATTGCACCCTTTAAACATAAATTGTTTGGCACTTTACACTCCAAATCACTTTTGACTTAGAAAAATTACCTGCACCTTGTTGAAAATCTGAAAGATGGCAAATTCACAATTCTCTAATTATCTATCATCTTCCCCCAATTCTTAATCATCGTTCCACCATTTTTATATTTCGTCATATTAATCAAAAAATCATAAATTCTTCTTAGCCATTTCTATTTGCCATAATATGTAAATTTTGAACTAAAACTCAAGAATGGTAGGAATATATAGACAAGAGTCCGATAACACACCTTCAGAAAATTAAGTTTTATTCCATGACAACGCTATTTTTTTTTAATAATTTTGTAGATCCAAACTATTCAATGGGAGCACAAAAATCTCCTCATCATGAAACCAATAGGCATCACCTTTCTATAACCAAATAAACTTCTCAGTAGCCTTATTTTGTCATTTGACAATTCAAAAAAAAATTGAGGGCTCGACCTAAAATTTCCAGTTATATTATTTTTCATACGCAAAAGAAAAAAAAAAGTGATTTACTATTATTGTTTAATATTTATACCGATTTTACCATTGAAATAAGGGCTAAAACGATTTTAGGATTTTTTGATTGAATGGATGAAAGATACAAATAGTGGAACAGTGATTAAGAATTGAGGGAAGAGGATAGATAATAAGAAAATTATGAATTTGTCCATCTTCTAGGTTCCCAGCAAGTTGCAGGTAAGTTTTCTAATCCAAACGTGATTTGTGGTGCAAAGTGCTAAACAATTTATATTTAAAGGGTGCAATTTGCCAATCTTGCAATTTAAGGGTGCAAAATGTCAAAATGGTGTAATTTAAGGGTGCAAAGTGCCAAAAACCCTTATTTTTCAGATTCTTCTTTCACAATATATTTTTCACTGGTACAACGTTTCGTGTTTAATTATAAACAAACATTCTCCAATTAATTCGCTCAAAATATATTTCACCAAAATAAAGTGAAAATAACCTCTAAAACGAATGCAAACATTGTCGTAACATGATGAATTTAAAATTATTTTTGTTAAGAGTTGTGTATTCTAAAATCTAATATTAATCAATTACTAGAGTATGTAGCACGATAGCAATTTTCATACATGATAATTT